GTTATAATTATAAGGCTACGAAAACCAAACGAATTTTATTTTATAGCGATCATACACTTGTATAAACATATTAATGGGTAGAATATTCAGATTCAGATTCAGATTGACAATAAACCATGCCAAATATTACACACTGGCCCTTTAAAGAGCAAAAACAGCATGTGTATACATTCAATAGGCTATAAACCAGCCTGAAAGTTTAGGAAATCTGAAACGATTGCATTAGAGTCAATGGAGCACAGCTGTATTGTTGCCGGACCCTGGTCTGAGCCGGCCTGATGCTACGTTATGATTGGCTTGCCTATGTCTGTGGGCGGGACTTATCAAAGGGTCAACAAACTTTATCTTTTCTGGCGTCAATAATTGTAATGTTCCGTTAAATCAGTTTCAGCTTCCGCCAACCAATAACAGCCCATGTGGTAAGCTTGGTAACTGGAGACTTTGTGCGGAAATGCACCTTGGGAGGTGTGGTTAACTGCTTGCCTTCCATTTGTATGTACAAAGGTTTGTACCTTTAACTTTTAAATTTAAAAAAATAAATAAATAAAAAGATATTTTCTATTACAGCTAGACCAAAAATATGCCAGGCCTCTACCACCTTAATTTATAAAGCTTAATGTCTTGTTGAAGCCATCAGGTTGCCACTCAGTTCCAACATTCCTTAGTGCTATAAAATCCTGTTAGGCACAGACGATGCTTATCCCCAGTACCAGCTGAAAAGAGGAAGCTTTCCAACATTCTCATGCTTCAACCCAGGCCAGCGACACCGCCAAATGACATCGGAGCAGTCGTCTAAGGGACATGGCTTGACCCTCTGAGATGCACACCTGCCCTAAAAGCCGACGCTTAAGAAGACTTATCACTACTCATGACTGGGATTTGTGGCATACACCTGCCATGCTGTTTGGTCTGCGCTTTGACTGATGGAAGAACACATCGCTGTGACACTAAGCTAAAGCCAACTTCTCAAGTCTGCAAACAAAGCCGGAACTAACCTGGGCTGAATTAACAGCTGCTGACAGCTGCGGCAGGATGGCTGAGTCCCCCTCCACCAAAACCCCATGGCACAAAGTTTGCCTTTTGTCCCATAAGGGTCAGTGAACAAGCTAAATCTTTGCACTGGGTAGAGACGTTTGGGAAATAAGTTTGTGGAGGGTTCAAAGAACTTTCAGTCGCACTCTCCAAATGCTCTTGATCTGCTAAGTCACAATCTGATGGTGTATGACCAGAGGTGAGGATGACTGTATTTAACCTGGATGCTGACAAGTCAAAGTAATACCCCATTGGCACTGGACTACAACTCCCTGTGGACCTCCATATAAAGGAATTTACCGACCACTTTTGTGTTTTCCCAGGATGAGGGAAGGCTGTGAGCCGCTCAGATTTACTGGTGATTTTGAAGGCTGTAGTTTGTGGTACTGTTGAATTGAATTTATATTAAGAGGTGTTTGTAAAGGCCAATTTCCACCAAGCAGTATGGTACGGTTCAGTTTAGTTTGGTAAGCTTCATTTTTGTTTCCACTGTGAAAAGTTGTGAATGGTACCAATGGAATCGTTCCTAACCATCCCTGTTTTTGGTCACCCCTCTGTTGGGGTAGTGAGGGTCAACAACTCCGCCCACATTCAAGAGTTCTGTTTGTGGTGGAAACGCTGAACGGACCTAGGGTCTAGGTACCACGTCTTAAGGGTTACTTTTGGTTCCAAAAGGTACCATACCGAAAGTGTTTGGTGGAAACGGGGCTTAATATTCAGGCTATCCTCACTAACATAAGCAGGGTGGACAATTTAAAGTTAGAAGCACCTCTCAGCCCTCCAAATCACCCTAAAGTTATTCAACTTTGCCTCTCTAAAACAGTTTCAACCAAAACTGAACATTATAACCTTAAAAGAGGGGAGGATTTATGTAACTAATAAATCAGTAACCGACTGTATGTAGAGCAGTATTCAAGCACGAGCGCAGCCTGGCCTTCCTCTGGCCCCAAACCAACCACAGGATAAATATTTTTGCTGTGCATTTACCACGTAAACAGGAAGTGAAACTATTTCACTGCGAGGTCGACATGGTGGCAATTATGTTAAATGTCACAAAACTAAAATTACAACCTTGTGGTTGCGTGCCGCCGCAAAGCAGTCAAGTTGTTGTTAGAGTTTACGTCCATGTCTGTCCAGACTCAAATGTTACCATGATGATGCTTCAAATATGAGTGTTGCTTCTAAAAAGCGACAAATTCTAAAACATAGATGCTTCGCACTTTTCCCCACTCGGCAGCACAGGAGATCGATACCATCACCACAGTTTAAGGAAAGACAAGCAAGATCTTGGTCAGTATCTGACCAAATGTCTCCTCATCTGTTCCTGAGATATGACTTTGAGTAATGGCCAGACAAGTATTTTTGCTGTACATTATGATGTCACAGTGAAGTTGACCTTTGACCTTTTGGATTTCGAATGTCATCACTTCATCATTATATCTCCTCAGATATTTCTGTGAAATACTGTCGTAATTAGCGAAAGAACTCTTCAGTTTTGGCTAAAAATGTGATTTGTAAATTCTAATCAGTTCGTCCTTTAGTTCGAGCGGATGTTTGTGTCAAATTTGAGGAAATTCCCTCAGGCCTTCGAGATATCACATTCACGAGAATGAGATGAATCAGAGGTCATAGTGACCTTTAACTTTAACTAGTAATGATGATTTTTGCATGTAGTGCACATCATGTACCTCCAGAGGTCAGTGTGGTGCAAGAGGCAGCTGAGCAGACTGAGTGGAAATGTTCTGTGAAAGAGAAACTTCAATCTAAAAAGCGTACGGTCGTATTTTTGTTTAATTAAGACCATGAAATATGAAAAGATACATTTTCTGACATCTTTTGTATATGTATTATACTGGAAAAGTTGAGAGAGCTTGGGTAATGTAGCGAATCGCTGGTCGTTGGATACCGTTTGATACCACCTAAGCCTAATGTAATCTATCATAATTTCATTATATGAATCATTAATACTGCAAATACAAATTAAACATCTGGTAGCCTATTTGAATAATAAAATCAGTTACTTTTTCAGTCCAGTAGATCAGTGGTTTTCAAACTTTTTGTGTCCAAGGCAAAAATCTCAAAGCACACCTGTAGTTATACCTGCACACAACAAACTCTTTAACGTGTCATCACTCTTCTAACGACATAAATGTTTGTTTTTATCTACTAATATCAAACAACAATTGACAACCAACTATTGATCATGAAATATTCATTAACAAAACGATTCAAGAACTCATTTTAAACTTTTTAAAATGGCATTAAAGCATCAATAACACATCCATTTATGCGCGAAATAATGTAAAATAATGTGATGATGAACTGTGTTTTAATTATAAAATTACATTTATTTATCATGTACATACATATAACTTGTATTGCCAATGATTTAAGTCAGTAAGTAAATTGTTATACTTGATCCCAGACCATTTTCTGGCCCCCCCTTGGCTACGGGCCGGGGTCACCTGTACCCTCTGACCCCCTCCTGATGACGAGCCTGTGTGCGCATAAAACTTCTACCTTTAGAATTAATGCAACCAGAGTTCAGGTCATCTTACCAGTGTCCATGCAGGGTCAGCGCAGCAGCCAGCGAGTAGTCAATGGCAGGGCCGGGGTGGAAATAGGCTACAGGTCCCATGGCCAGCAGCAGGATGCTCAGCACCCTCTCTGCTGTCCAGTGCAGAGAGGCGGCTTTGGAGCCAGAGCCCGCTGTGGAGCAAGAGAAACAGCAGAATATCAGCAGACTGTAAAACCACTGTTTCCCCCTGAATGAAAACCTGGATATCTAATCTGGTTTAGACATGATTCCCTTTGCTAATGGCAAATGTAATCCATAAAAATATTTAACACTAATTTATGATTTATATCCTCCAATTTATGGAATTAACCCTTTAATGAAATATACCAAAGTGCTCAATACATCAAACGTCTGATATTTGATGATCCCCACACATTTTGGTCGGGATTCAAATATTATAGGGGCTTGATAAAAGTTTGAAATATTTCAAAACCTCTGCCAACACTTCTCTGCATCAAAATAGGATGTTTAAAATATTTTCCAGCTGTGGCGGACTTGTTCCCCTGTGCAACCACAGCCTTCTTTCTCCTTCCTCCTTTCAAAAGGTCAATGTAGCAACATTTGTGCTAATATCCAAGTCTTTGTAAAGTTTAAAAATGGTAAAGTCACCCCCCCCCCTCCACTCTCTAAGCTCAGCAACCTTTGGTATTTCCGATACATTTGACTTTCCAGAGAAAGCCTCCACCCTTCCGTCGTTTTCTAAATGTCCCACTAACCTGAAAACAGCGGGTCATAGAGGGTGAAACCTGCTAACATTAAGCCGTTCACCGTACATGAACCTGGTGTCAACATACCGTCACCTCTCTAGCATTTATGGTGCTAAATCTGGCCTACACAACACCTGTCCTAAACCACTGAGGCCGTCAGCCACTTTCATCTATGTCAAAACAGAAAAACTGCTCCCTACAAAATATAAAGTACACACATGTCATTTAACAGAAACTAAACAGAATCAATAATGGCAACAACTAATTAAGAGACACCCTCAACTGTTCGTAGGTATTACTATTGGACCATTCTCTGCAGCCAGAGTACAGTATGCTGGACTTCAACCATTTAAATAGATCACTAACACATTACACAATGCATCGTCCTGTGACACTCGTCTGAGCGTTGCCTGGTGAAATGAAATCTCATTTACATTACTTTGCAGTGATAACAGAGTCCAGTTCAGAAAAAAGTGTAGCTTATCATGTTTACTTGTTGATGACACCGTGTCACAGGTGTTGATTTCACGCTGTGGTCACTCCTGAGGTCGTGGTAAATGTCACGCTGTTGGTTTGCTGCTCAACACTATCAAGGCCCAGACACACCAAACTGACCACAGAGAACTAGCGGCAACAAACGCCCCCTGCTGCGCCCCATGTTGCCGTGTCTCCGTCAAAAAGTTGTGACGGCAACGTCTCTATGGAAATCGAGATGGCCCTCATTTCCTTTATCTGTACCTCAGTAGACTTTGATGGATCACACACAGTATTTAATGAAGACTCCATCGAAGAGAATCCCACCTCTACATACAGGGTGCAACACTGCGTCTGTTGTCCAGAGACTCTTAAGGGTGTCCACGCCCAGTTCTTGCATTTAACCCAAACATAGTCCCTTGCGAGTTACCCAATGTTCCCAAACAAGGTTATCCTGTCCTGATCTATGGCTTTGTGAAGTTTCTTTTGATTACTGACTTTAAACACCGAGCACGCTCACCTGGCTCGCTCTAAATCACCTCGACTGTCTCTAACAAAATGCACATATCTAAAAAGACACTCTCGTCTGTTGAGCCTGGAGCACAAGGCAATCTCCCTTACCCTTAACCTTGGGAGCTATGGCAACAGAGACAGCTAGGCACCCTTATCTGGGCGGCTGTACTCCCTCCACCACAAGTGGGAGATGACAGCTAGAGTGTGTTCATAACAAAGGTCAAGTTGCCCCAACCCTTCTACACATTCTTACACTGATATACCAACTTTGTTCGAGACATGTCTCTGTTGAGATCTGGCAACAGCTAACGTCATCTTACACTCGGTTGATGTCAGACATTAAGCTAGCAGATGAAAACGAGTGTGAAAGAAAGGGACAAACATTACATTTGTATTGTATATAGTGTTGTGTTGTTTTGCCAACTAGCTTTTATGTTCTGCACCTATGTGAGAAGAGATAACTCTCCACACTGACATATAAAGGCCCAGACACACCAAACCAACTTCAGAGAACTAGCAGTGACGAATGCCCCCTGCTGTGTTGCCTCACGTTGTGTCTCGAGGAAATAACTCTCCACATGAGCAGACAGTGGTAGTCTGTATTTGTCATTCACTAACAGGCTCCGCCGTCACCAATTCAACATGCTGAATCAGCCAAAAGACACCAACGAGGGCCAACGGTGCGGGACACAACACACCGACTCGGGTAACAGACGCTCACTGGCGGCCAAACACTGACAGACAGCTGACCGTCCACTTGGTGTGTTAGGGCCTTCAGGTTTTCCTGTTCTATAAACTATCTACTCTATACTCTATATACTCCCTGTATGTACTACTGCGTGCTTCCATTTGTCAGCACTTACCGTACAGAGCCTGTGACGCATGGATCCTTGCTGTCAGCTGGTACGGCTGCTCCTGGTATTTGTGCGGTACAACCAGCGGCCTGGCCAACAAAGTGCTTTGGTAGAACAGGGCTGAAGAAAAAAGGCAAAAACAAATCAGGTTTCCAAATGATGAAATATAAACACAATATGAAGTGTAAACTACAAAATAAACTATAACATGCTAATGATATAATATAATGATATACTCAGCTTAATAAAAAGCATTTTATTGATTATATACACACAATTTTTATTTCAGGAGGCTTTGACCATACTGTTTTCCAGAGATGCTTCAGAAATTGAGGATATTCTGAGTAGTGGTGACAAATACAATGCAAAACACATGTGCAATGTGTTTTAAAGCATCACTTTATTCATTGATAGGAGTCGTCCATGCATGAAAAAAAAATAAATTCATGTGCTTTTGTTGTTGGAAAAAAGTAAGTTACTATTAGGAAACTTCTGTGTTCAGATCCTGTAAATCCTGTTCTGGTCTCTGCATTGTTGCACCTTCATTCCATCTACCCACCTTTGACAGCTCATTTCTCTCATTCCCATCCCACTCAAATTCAACTTAACTTTACAACCTTTACAGTGAAAACTGTTGTGAGCACTGCAGCACTTTATTACCTTACTAATTATATTCATATGATACATTATGTCAATGATTATCTGTATTATATTGCACTGTATGTATTGGTTTCGTTGTGTTTCTCAATCCATCTTAGCACAACTCCAACAAGAAATCCTGTTTCTGGTCCTTGCATTCCTGCACCTCCATCTCATTTATCCACCCCTGACAGTTTCATCTCTCCCAATTTAACTTATTGTAATTTAATTAAATTTAGACCTTTACTGTGACTATTTCTATGGGCACTGCAGCACTTTATAACTTCATATATTATATACACTATGTCAATGATTCATGGACTTGCATTGTTTCGTCTACTCACTGTCCATAGCCTCTCGATCAACTATTTTGTACTGTATCACATTGCACTGTACGTATTGGGTTTTCGTTGTGAATTATTGTTTATCTGTTTGTTATTTGTTTTACATATTATGACTTATGTGTTCCTGTTTTTGTTTGTTATTTGTTGTTTTATATTTTATGACTTCTGTGTTCCTGTTTTTGCGTTTTTTAATGGCCTGAGGTCTTTTTAACATCATGCCAGAGGACTACAGCTGAAAATTGGCCTCTGGCTAACACCGGCACATTTACAGCAATGTTCATTAATGTGCACTGTCCTCTAAAAAAAAAATAATAAAATAAAATAAAAAATAAATAAATAGATTCTCCGTCCACTGGAATGGACAGAAAAAATAACACAATAAACACACAATAAAGTTACCTGATAAAACACAACAACTTTTTTGCTAATGATTTAAACTATTATATTTCAGAATCAAAATCAGAAAAACATTATTGATCCCTAAGGGGAAATTATGATTCGTTACAGTCACTCTAATGTAAAGAATTAAGCATTATAAGAGGTAAGAATAAGAGTGTGCATTATGCTACACTGATTAACACTAGCAGTTAAAAAATATAATATATATCAGCACTGTGCTGAGACTACAAGTGTGTAGAAATGTACAAATATGTGCATTGGTCTACATTACACTGTGTAAACTAGTGCTACATTCAGAAATACAAACATGTATTATGCTATAATGGTTACTACAATATACATCAATAGAAAAAAACAAGAATAGGAATAAACATATGAAATATACAGTTATGTGCATTGTATGATGAAAAAAAAATATATATATACATTTACAATGTTTTTGGTGTGAAGTGGTTAATAAAGGTGTTTCTACCTGTGCCAGCCTCTTAAGCAACATTATAACAGGTTTTATTTGCTTGTTTGTTTGTTTTTGGTGCAAATAAATCTTCAAAATAGTATGTTTGATGTTCATATTCATTTGGGCTGGGAGGCAATGTTTTCTCATTTTAAAAATGGTTTTGAGTATTTAACTACAGTAATAAACATTAAGTTACATAAAAACGTAGTTCACTGGTCTTTCCAGTTGAAAACCATCAACCAAAACAGTCAAGGGAGGGCGGTCTCGAGCAGTCTTAACCTTAAATAACCTTTTACCAAAATAGACTCAAGGCTCTTTGCTTTGACTTGGTTATGCCGAATTAAAAACAGAGTCTTGTCATCTCAGAAAATGTCTGTTGTAAAGTTTTAACTGATGTGTAGTTTTGTGAAAAAGTGAGTTGACTTATAAGTCACGAACTTTTGAATGGAGTTTGGCTCACTGTACAAAGTCTTTAGGGCGAGTAATAACGTCACGATGGGGCAGTCTGATGTCATCGTGGCAGCAGATTTCAGTCCCACCTCTGTGTGCATCACTATTAACCCGTGTGACAGATTTACTAACCGCTAACTAACGATAACTAGTTGGTGCCCAGTATTAAGCAAGCACACACTTTAGGGTTGTTAAACTACAGTCGTGAACTTGATAGTAGTAAGCTAGTGACTGCCGGGCGTGATTTGTTCGTACACAGCTAATACTCGACTTCTCTTCGGCCCAAACGTCCAGCTAACAAACTGCGCTAAAGTTAACACATATGTTCAAAACAGAGAGAAACGCTGAAAGCAGACAGAAGTACTCACGTTTGACTCCTCTGCGACACACAGAACTCAACCTGACGATAGCCGCCATGATGATCAACCAATGAAGGTCACCACAGTCACCCGGATGTAGTTGTTACGTCGGCAGCGGCACAAAGATGTCGGAAGTTTGAGGAGATCGACAGCTCTACCCGGAAGTACGTCTTTTTTTTTTTTATTAATGTCCCGTCATACAATTTATGAAAATAAAAATATCAATGATTTATGAACGTATGAAAATAGAAAATATCACAACATTTGACGCACACCAAATTCTAATTTACAAAGATAACCTCTCCAAAGATATATCTGATATGGTCATTATCATCATCATCATAATAATGGCTAAAAATCATAATTATTCATGTAAATGGGAAAATCAGTATCCCTCATCAGTTTGGTTTCAAAATTAATTTGAAAAATATTTTCTACAAATATCAACTGAAACATTTGTACAAAAAGTCTCACACTATGTCACAATTTGGCATTTTTAACGAAATAAAAGGATTGCTTTGTCTTATTTATTCACTGGATTGGCTCTACATCATATGATCTACTGTGTGAATTACCTAAAGTGTCTCAAAGTATTGCCTTACACTTATTGTCACTATGTACATGTATTTTTTTTTTTAAAATGTATCTATTTTTTATTTATTCTAGATATTTCCTTGGAGTGTTGATTTTTGTCTGGAATTTGTTTTGAACAAATATATTGAATATTATATGGAAGAATGCAGGATTCTATTTTCCTATGAGAATTTGTACTGTTGAATTTTTCTAAATTAAGTTTAAAAAAAGTTTCCTTCTGTTTGTTTTTATAAACAAATTACTCACATTGATCAATTCATTAATTTAACCTCAAATTCTGGTCATCATTATGGAGGGTTTTTGAATAGATTACGGGCCGTTAAAACAGGCACTGCATATTTTATTATTTGTTTTTTTCTGACATGGACTGAACATTTAAATACATTTTAAATAAACTTTAATGAAACAAAGTATAGCTTCAGTAAATATGCACAGAGGGGAATAAGATGATAAAGCATGATTGGAAGGGACAAAGTGTCCTTGGACACAGTATGTGTGACGAAAGCTTCCATCAGAAAAAAAATAAGATAGTCATATTTCATCAAAATAACTTGATTCTAGGTCTCATTTAAAATTTGGCCAAATAGTTTTTGTTTGCATGAACTAACCAGCATGCAACTAACTTTCAACTAACCTTCAAACATCAAAATGTAAGTTTTAAAATCTAGGAACTAATTTATAGTGAGGGGAAAGGGTCATGAATTATCAGAGAAGCTCAAGGAAAGATATTTGTAGCTTCAGCAAGGGTCAAAATGAAAAAGAAAATCCATTGATAAATAAAGGACAGTCCCTAAATTAATTTATTCATTATAATGACTATATTTAAGTTAAGTGTGTGGTTGCCTTTTATATAATAGCATTTTTTTTGTCTTATATTCATTCTTTATTCATCAATTTATTTTTATTTTTATTTATTTAGCTCCTGTTAAACATGAAATATCTTTGTGAGCGTCACCTCTTACGTCACATCCTGCGCGCAGATCTCCAAATGAATCAGGGAGGAGCCGCCTCTGAGTGAGGCCCGTCACATGACTTGTCCATCAGCGTAGTTTGAGACGCTGCAGCGCTCAGTCCCGGTGAAACCGAAGGTCACCACCTCTCAGCAGCCTGTCAGCGGATATACCGAGTCATTCTGTACATATTAAATAACGCCATGGACAATTTTGATAACTTCAGTGCGTCGGAGAAAGCAGAGGCGACGGAGCTCCAGCGTATGATCGCGATAGAGCAACAGAAAGCGCAGTTCCAGGCCCAGGTGTGTATGCTAACTATGCTAACCATGCTAATCTGTATCCAGCCCGTTAGCATTGCAGCATGTCGGGACACGAGACACTCACTCTCTGTAAGAGAAACTACCCTGGAAACTGTTATAAGGTTCATTTGCCGTTTGACATGAAGACGAGGGAAGTTGTAAAACACGATCTGAACACATGATACGAATTGTTAATTTAGCTATATGTTGGAAATACTGAAGCGAGCAGTTCCTCCAGGGGCGGATTATTAATCAACGGGCCCCTGGGCACGGATATGCCAAGGCCCCCCTCTCCCCCCCATAGGAGCTGGACACACACACTTTACAGATTTTAGTTAATGTTATTGTTTTGATCTATTTGTGGTTATTTTTTGTACACGACATACACGACCATACAAACTCCAGCCCCTACACAAATTAAGCGACACAACATTATGTTAGCATAAAATGAACTTGTAAACAGCTTAGCAGCGCTAAAACATAGAAATTACCACAAGAGCGATGTCGCGTACCTCTCCCATGGAGCACAACAGCAAAAGGGGTGAGGTAAGGCAGGAGACACTCCTTTATAGGTGGGGTACCCCCAAAGGTGAATGTAGGGGTACAGAAACTGAGTATCAAACATTTCACATATTGAGTACGGAGGTCTGAGCATGTCAGGTAAGAACAACTGAACCAAATTTTGTGTAATTATAACACTCAACATTACAAATATATATTAGACTTGTCACACATATTCCTACTGTATAATTGACATGTATACATGTTTTATATATAAAAGGGACAGTCGGCAGGATGGGATCACTGGCAGCACAGGTGTGACATCATGAAGATGTGTTATGAGTCACACCCACTGTGGGAGATTTAAGATTTAGATGCCACACATGCAGAACTCTGCTGCCCAGTTACTCACCTGCACCCCCTCCAGGGACCACATCACCCCTGTCCTCAAACAGCTTCATTGGCTCCCTGTCCAGTACCGCATCCAGTACAAACTCCTCCTCATCACCTACAAAGCCTTCAATATCCTTGCCCCTTCTTATCTCACTGACCTGCTCCACCGCCATTCCCCCATCTAACCTCCTGACCCCCATCACTAGAACCCAGCACCGAACCGTGGGGGACTGAGCCTTCGCTGCCGCTGCCCCAACCCTCTGGAACTCCCTCCCACTCAACACCAGAAACGCAGACTCCCTACTGACTTTCATATCACTGTTAAAAACCCATTTGTTCAAACTGGCTTTTCCCTAGTTTCCAACAGTCATTTTTCATTTTTATTTTATTATCATTGACATTTTTCAGCACTGTAAAGCGTCCTTGAATGTCCTGAAAAGCGCTATATAAATGTGATGCATTATTATTGTTGTTATTATTATTAAAAAGCAGTGGGTAGCAGCTTAACCAAAGAGAAAGAACATTGGCCATAAATGTCTGCAGAATGGGAAATCAATGAGACTCCTTACCCATGAGCAGAAGATGAGATCAGCTGCCATATAACAGGAACAGTTAATGATTGTTACTGACATGTTATGCCATTGTTATTGTTTATAAAGTACTGCTGACGCATATTGTGCATGTCACACTAGAGGCCAACGCTGTTGGGTTATGGGTCATGCCTGTGATGCTAGGGCTAGGTGATATGAACAAAAACTTGAATCATATCGTATTACAGGTGGACTGGCGATACACTATATATATATATCTCAGTATTTTCTACGAAATGGGCTACATCTTTAGAAGAAGTCTCACTGTATCGGTTATTAATAAACTTTTCATATTTCTTCCAGGTGCACACTTTCACTGACGTTTGCTGGGACAAGTGTGTGGACAGCCCGGGCTCGAAGCTGGACTACCGCACAGAGACGTGCCTGGTGAGCTGCGTGGAGCGATTCATTGACACCACCCTGACCATCACCAACCGCTTCACACAGATGGTGCAGAAGGGTGCTCATTGATGAAGGACTGCAGATGCCAACCAGACTGTGAAATGATATTAATAAGATGTTTTGTATCTCAAACACGCTGATGGGAGACTATGTGAAGAGGACGTGGTTATTGACTGTTTAAGCATTTGACTGGTGGCGCCGGGGAACGGGGAACTGTGCATGGCTGCAGCTCCAAAGATGCAAGACGTACCTGTTTGAGAAATTATGTAATGTGACATGAGTAAAGTGAGGCAGTGTGCTCATGTTCACCACCCTGTCTGTGATCCATCTGTACTAAAGTTATGAAATTAGATAAACTGTTTTCCAGGACTGGAAATAGTTTGGAATTAACAGAATGTTTGAGAACAGTTTGAATATACATCATTTTGGCTGTTTTTTAAAATATATTCCTAAAAATCCCAGAACATCTCTGACGTGATGCAAAAATATTCCGTGTAATACTAATTTAAATCTGGTGCTGCACTGAATGTTGAAACATCATTAGTATCACATGATTCATTGGCGTGTAGCGTCAAACAATATGAGGAAAATATGTGAAATGCAATAATGTTGATTATTGTTTTAACGATATTACTTGCAGTAAATAAACAGATAAAAAGTGTACTCAGGTCTGCCTGCTGCTTTCAGTATACTGCTAAAAGACGACACATTGCTTGTTGAATTTAAAAAGAAATGAATGGACATTTTATACACCAAACAATACATTGTAAAATTGCACTCAGCAGATTTATCAGTGTTGAAAATAATTGTTAATTGCAGCTCTAATTCAGAGTTTAAATATCCTGTGTTCTGTTACAGCAGAAGGTCGTGGAAAATTCCCTGAAACATCATAAACACCATGTAATAGTAAAATCCTGCAAATCATTATTATTAAGTCATATTTCTGCTAATCTCAGTTTCTCTTCAGGAAGTCAGTTTATGGGCTGCTGATAGACAAGCCTTGTTGTGCTGGTCAACAGATAGACCTAAAATACACATAGCACAAAAAACATAGGTTGTAAATACACGTTTACTGTTAGTAAACACTATGACGTTTCTGGTGGGCGGGGCTTAGCTGGAGGCAAAATAGTTCTCAAGTGCCGAGCAGAGTGAATGTTTGACTAACTTATCCGTTCGTTCAACCATATAGAACTATAATGTTTCTTCCACCAACAGGGCTCTCATTTTAGTGTTGAGCGTCAGACTGAATTTACCAACGCACCATGTCAGGTCACTCACTCTCCGGGACTGCCAGTATTACTTGAATAAGTAAACACTGACCAACGGGACCAGACTGGCCGACCCGTATGCTCTCACTCGGTGGATGGATGATGTCACAGGAAGCCAATCTTACAAAGGAGGACCACACTTGTTTGTTTTGCTGTGGAAGCTAACGTTAGCTAATGCTTCCTCTTAATCCCTCCCCAGTTTCTGATGAGGTGGACATAATAACCCTTAATACACATAACGTTATTCATCCCTACAACAGGAAATACTTTTTCCCTAACCTGATATGAAGTGTGCGCTGCACATGTGAGCATTTTTGATGATGGCCTTCGTCCAGTCCTTTGGTCTTATCACATTTAACCATCTTTGTTTTTGTTGACGGGCAGTGGCGGCTGGTTTTGAGCCATGACTCCTTCTATTCTGGCTCCCAATAACTCAACAAGACAAACACATTTTAAGACTCCTATGTAGCCTACAGCCCTGTGGGGGAGAGGCAGCTGCACGCCTGCACCTCCAGCTAACAAAATGACATCAATGTGACGTCGGCCCTAAAATGGGCTATAAAGGGGGGTTAATGATACACCAGTATTTACAAGATAAAACCAATGTGTTAGACAATCATTGATGACAAAGGGACGTATGAAAGCAAAATATTTGCTACACATGAAACTAAACTGTAAGGCTGTTAATATTTTTAGCTGCCCTGAGTGCAGACTTCATGGCAGTCTCAATCCACCCATGTGGCATTGCTGTGTGTTCTCCTGCAAAGTGCACCCGTCCCTCCCTCTGGAACAGTTCTCTGGCGTAGTGTCCCTGCTGGTAGGGTGTGAACAGGGCGAAGGCTCCCAGACTGTAAGGATCCAAGCCCCACTTCTTCACCAGCCCCCCTGTGCACAGAGGCCTGATGTGCTCTCCGTGGATCTTCACCAAGTCCTCCAGGACCACGGCCATCAGCTCCACCTCGGTCAGCCCTTGGAAGAGGGTGGAGTCATCAGAGCAGGTGTAGGACGCCAGGAGGGCCCCTGCAGCTGTACCGGGGAAGCTGTGGCTGGGGTAGTAGATGAAGCGAGCGGGCCTGTCTGTGATGCTCTTCCCTCCTCTGATGCCCTCTTTCTCCCAGAACCGCTCCCTGAAGCTGAGCACCACCTTGGTGGAGCTGGCGTAATGAACTGAGCGCAGGGCCTCCATCTTGTCCCCAGAGAGAGGGGGCTGGAAGTCAATGAAGACAGTGGCCTTGGCTGAGGCTGTAACCAGGGCATAGTCCACTGTTAGGTTGGTCAGGGAGCCTGAATTACGCCAGTCCTGGTACGTTACCGTCACATTGCTGCCGCCTGTTTGGTTGATGAGCTTGACCTTGGAGTTGAGGAGGATCGTGGCATTTAACATCTGAAAGAAAGCCTTCGGGAGATGGTCGAAACCATCTGTCACTTCAAAGTACCTGGAAACATAAAACACAATAAAAACCTCTTAATCACAAAACATCATTAAAGATTTATGTGCAGGGTTTAGTGACATCTAGTGGCGAGGTTGTAGTTTGCATCTCACTGAAGCTTTTCCCATCGGTCTTCAGGCTGCTAGACACATGATAAAAGGCTAAAATGAACAGTTCTTACTCAACACTGTCGCTGATGTCCGCCTGTATGTACAGCATCTCTATCAGTGATGTGTAGAAGAGGCTGTTTTCATTCAGGATGTCCCCGATCATCCTCAAGGCACCTCGGCTCAGGTTGCCCTCCTTCACCAGATATTCCTGTCAGCAGTCAAATGTAAGCTGGTAAATGTTTCATCAGATTCAAACCATAACCTGTGTGACAAAGTCAGAATAAATAAATCTTTACCTTCACTGTGTAGGAATCATATTTATCCAACATGGCACTGCAGCCGATCGCCTTGACGTCATCCCTCACCTGTGCACAGATTGCAATATGACAAAATCACGTCTCTATCCTTGTGCACCATCCTTAAAAATATGAATATATGCAAACATAATAAAGACATATGAATGTATACAAACCTTCCAGAGCGCCTCACTGAAGAGCTGAGCAGCTGACTTCCCCCTCTCCCTTTGGTTCAGGCTGTAGTTGAGCACAGCAGGGTTGTTTTCTACAGTATAGGTTTTATGTAGCAATCCATTCACCAAAAAGTAGGTGTTGATGTCGTCTTGGATGAATGGGTTCAGGGGAATTTGTAATTTGGAGGCAAAGGAAAGCAGAATTCTGTGGAACAGATATTGTGTATTAATTATTTTATATATGCAAGAGATGTGTGAATAGATACGATTGATCTATTCTACATTGTTCCTTTAACCCTTTGGGGTCAAGGGCATAATCGGCCGTTTTTGATTACTTTTGATTTTACCTTTAAATTTCACCTTAAAAACAGTCTACCTTGTCTTGTTTGGTGTCATTTTTTTCAGCACAACCTCACCTGTGTGACTTTAGAGTTATTTTTTCATTTTCAAATATTGTATTAACACATTGGACATAAAATTAGAATAGCCTGTTTTTGCCGTTTGTTCCTGCACCAAACGTGATGACAATATTCAGGAAAAGCATGGTGTAAATTATTTATCATAAGTCTGGTTTTACTGGGCCTATTAACACAATTTAAAACTGGAATATAGTTTGAAGTACGGACTTTCGACACAAGTTGAAACGGAGACTCAGTGAAGCTGCGTCTGGCTGCTACGTCATCCTAAATCAGTCATGTGATTTGGATGCACCGGTGCATCTGGTGACTCCAGAGGGTTAAGGCAAAAAGGACAAGACTGCCGAGACTTTAAGGCAAGTCACTTTTGGTCCATTCAGAATGGATCCGCGACCCACTTTTGGACTGTGACCCACCAGTTGGGAACCACTGGTATTACAAGACGTTGTTTTCACCAGCTGTAGCTTTGAGTGAAAGAAGCAATACCACACTTCAAAAAACATTCAGTTACAAGTTAAGTGTTCCAACTTTTACAGCAGTAGCCTTTTATTCAAATTGTGCTGGTATCAAAAGTAAAATTTGTTAATATTATTATTGGATTGTTATTACTTATAAGTAAGTAAATTTGGGTACCACTTTGTGTCATAATAATTACTAAAACAGTCATAATTCATACATCAGTAATGACGGACTTGGTAGCACACCTATTGCGACCAGGTCTCACTCCGAAGTCGCCAAAATCCGGCGGACTCTGACAAAAAAATCTGTTGGTGGCACCAGGGTGAAACGCGGCGGGACAACTGTTCCTTTTTCCTAAACCCAACCACTTGCGTTAATTGTTGAATTAAAACAAACATCAATTTGTTGTACCAACGTAGTGCTTTTATTTTGAAAGAGACTGTATGTAAATGTTACATTCCCTGTGAAAATGGAAGTGTATTTTGAAAGAAGACATTCTATGTAATAGGCAGAACTTGACACGGTGTCCCAGAATGCCGACAACAAACGCACCTAGGGTACCTTGCATGCCGTATCCGAGCGTGGAGGAAGGTCCACGACCAAACGTCGATATGTGACGAGGTCGGACTGAGAATGTGTTGCCAATTGGTGCTGGTGTGCACTGTATCTTTCTGCAGCATCACCTGCTTCATAATCTTAGTGAGCAGTTAAAGTCATGTGGAAAGCAAAGGGCTTAAAATCGGGGCTGTGGGGCATCCAGACCAGAATCCATTTATTTACAATTTATTGGCATTGATACTGGTTATCAGAAAACACTATGTCACCGGTATCTATAGCTGTCGAGTGGACTTAAAAAGTACAGTATTTCCCACTGATTTTTGAAAATAAAAGTACAAGTACTTCAAAGGTGTACTTTAAGATCTGGTGTGTAGGGGTTAGTGGCATCTAGTGGTGAGATTGCAGAACTGAAAACTCTTGTGTGCCTAGTGTGAAGGAGATCTCCGGTTGTGTTAAATCATCAATGCACTCATGTCACTGTCATATTATGGCACAGCAGACAGTTGAAAGAGACAGCCGCTATACTCACTTATGAAAGCTGGGGATCCTCATGGCGCCCACTTCTGCATACCAGCCTTCTTTAATGTTCCTGAAGGTCTCTACACGTCCCCCAATACGGTTACTGGCTTCTATTATGGTCACCTTGTTGTACACAGGGACACATCATCATGTTAGAAACACTGCACAGCATCTTTTTTAGTCGTTATTTCCTCACTATAAAATACTTCACCTTATGTCCAGCGTCTTCTAAAAACTTTGCAGCGGTCAGTCCAGCGATGCCCCCGCCGATGATTGCTACATGGCGCGGTGTCTTAGCGGCAGGAAGTCCTCTATCCACAATGTCGAGGAGCTCACTGTAGTCGGTGTCTTGGAGGCACTCGTACAGAGGGTCTCCAAAGATCCCACTCACAGCAAACACCACAACCCCGACAAGAACCAGAGGAACTGATGGAGAAATATCAACGTAAGAGATGAATTCAAAGCATTAGGAGGCAAATTCAGAAGAGGAGGAATATTTCCAACATTCAGACTTTAAAGGACCAGTGTGTGGGATTTAGGGGGATATATTGGCAGAGATATAATATAATAAGTATGTTTTCTTTTTTGCCATGTTGCACTGCCATGTTTCTATAGTAGCCCAGTATGTTCAAACAAACACTGGCTCCACATAGGAACATTTGCCTTTTTGTGTTTTCGCATCGGCAGAGCTCCACTGATTTGTAACATGGAACTGCTTTATGCAGTGTCTCTGGTGCTTAAAATCACCTGGTCAGTTTGTTTTGTAGAGGAGGTGACCTTTGTGGGTGATTTAGCCCCCGGTAAAAACCTCCTGAATGTCTGGATCTTATGATATCGAAGGAAAAAAGGTGATCACATCTTTTTAGTTAGTGGACAGAGAGTCAATCATGTTGTGCAGTTCCTGTGATTTCACGTCCACTTACTTGTCCGTGGTGTCTATTCTCACCAGCACTGCTTGCTCTGAGGTGGTTATCACCGCCATTAGCATGGCTACTATCATGACCACGAGGCTGAACAAATTTTTCTCAGCTTTTTGCACCAAACATTGCAAAAAGTAACTTTAAATTTTCAACACAGCTTACTATATTGTTATAGCTGTTCATAATGAATTAGCAGAAGACTTTACATTATTTACATGAAAGAAAAGTTATCTCTGTGGAGCAACAGGCTAATGTGTCCTCATGCTGTTGCTCACGAGCATGTGTTGGGCTAGCGCCTGCAGCGACAAGCCAAATTGCGTAGGAAACACATGGATTTGTAGCGTGAAACTGTGTTTGTCTCTGTTTTTACTAGTTTAAATCACCTGGTCTGTTTGTTTTGGAGAGGAAGAGACCTCTGTGGATAATTCAGCTGTGGATAATGGTAAAAACCTCCTGAACGTCTGGATCAGAAAAAGGTCAGCACACATTAACAAAAGAGAAACGGGGTGAGCACACGTGTGCATGTTGAGGCGAGCCGCCCGTCTCCGAGATACCAAAGAGCTTCTGAGAAGCACTGATTTGCAACATGAAACTGCTTTATTCGGTCTTTCCAGTGATTTAAATCACCTGGTCTGTTTGTTTTGGGGAGGAAGAGACGTCTGTGGATGATTTGGCTCACGGTAAAAACCTCCGGAACGTCTGGATCTTATGTTATCAGAGAAAAAAGGTGAACACAAATGAGCATGTGTGTTGGACTAGCGCCTGCAGTGACATGCCAAACTGCCTCACTGATACATGGATTTGTAATGTGAAATGGTGTTAATCTGTGTTCTTGCCAGTTTAAATCGCCTGGTCTGTTTGTTTTGGAGAGGAGGAGACCTCTGTGGATAATTCGGCTCACGGTAAAAACCTTCTGAACGTCTGGACCAGAGAAAAGTGAGCACACAGTAACTTAAAAGAGAAAAGGGTTGAGCCTTCTGTCTCTGAGCAGCATCATAAATGCACTGATTTGTAACATGAAACTGCTTTATTCAGTGTTTTTCATGGTTTTAATCATCTGGTCTGTTTGTTTTGGAGAGGAGGAGACCTCTGTGGATAATTCAGCTCCTGGTAAAAACCTCCTGAACACTGAACACTGAAGAAATAATAGCTGGGAGAAGTTTCAGCTGGCTGCAATCTGAATTTCACCACTGGACGTCACCAAATCCCCCTAAATCTCACACACTCAACCTTCAGCTGAGACGGGAAAAGACCACAAGTGATGGCTGAGTAAGCACCAGCTTCCACTTTCCTTTCTTCACTGCTGAGCTCACAAACATAACTGAATCACAACTCTGAGCAGATCTGAGGCTCTGTAATTCACTTATATTGCACCATCAGTTCTCTGCTCCATGATGCAGATTTTATTATGGTTGTATCCAATTACATGCCAAACTGTATTAAATTAACTATTAAATGAATGTATAATGTGATAACAGATTATCTGATACTTACAGAACTTGCACAGTGCCATGTGAGGGATCATCTTGGTAATGGAGCTCCACAGTCCTGACTTCTTCCGTCTGCTGTTGATGCTGACACTATCAGAGGAGAAGGAAACCTATGACACACAAACATGTTATATGTTTAGGATGAAATGCTCAGGCAGTATTATGTGAACAAATACTGGTTAAACATTCAGCAGAACTACACAGATTAAAAAATTTCTTTCTAAAAACGCAGAAAAAATACATTGGATTTGGTCCAAATGTGATAAATTGTTTCAGTTAATTGCATTAAGTGAATAATCTAAAACGAGAGGAGACTAAGACGAGGTCAGACTATGTGTATTCCACTCACCTCAGCCAAAGGCAATGTCTCGTAAGTTGTCATAAGCCTATTCATGACTGAGGAGAAATGACCGAGTCCCTGATAAAGCTAAACTTTCTACGCCTTCTGTGTCCATACGAAAGCAGCCTGGAAAACCTGGAAGCGTGGTATGTGTGAAATTGCACACAACGTAATTTTAATGAGGGGACTGTGTGGCTCCTCAGGTCTTCCAGAAATATTTTCCCACACCGGCTCGAGAGTCAACCACACTGAACAAATCAGATTAGTGAGGGTATACTAGTCATCAGCATACCTCAATTCCTCCATCTTCACTCATTTCAATATCTGACCTGAGAGTGCTCATTCAGAGGGATCCCAAACTCAAACTTAAAGCTGCACTTCATCAACAAAAACACACTCAACAACACAAGTCGTCATTTCTATTGTTAAAAGTATCCTTTATTTTTTTAAATAGTTTTGCAGCTCACCTGAAAAAAAGTCTTTAGTCCCACTCGTCCAGCTTTTTCTGTGCCCGGCATACAAAGTACACAGAGAGCTTTTATATGCTGCAAGAAATGAAAGTAAAAACCACAAGAAAAAAAGAGGGTTTCATTTTCCTGACAGAAGAAACTGCTTTATACATTTGTCTGTAGTCAAAGCTAATGGCAGAATAATTACATTACATAATGTTATGTTTATTTAGGTGCGACATTTTATTTATTGTATTTCATTATAACTGCTTTGGCTGAGTTGAGTTGGGATTAGTTTAGTTTTGTTATTTTCCAACTTGTAGGCGACAATTCAAATACACACACAATGTCTGAACCCAGGGTGAGGGAGCCCCTCTATGCAGAGCATGTTCTCCCTGAGTCAGCATGGGTTTTCTGGGGGTACTCCAGCTTCCTCCCACAGTCCAAAGACATGCAGGTTAATTGGTGACTCTAAATTGTCCGTAGGTGTGAATGTGAGTGTGAATGGTTGTCTGTCTCTATGTGTCAGCCCTGTGATAGTCTGGTGACCTGTCCAGGGTGAACCCTGCCTCTCACCCGGTGTCAGCTGGGATAGGCTCCAGCGCACCCAAGACCCCAACAGGATCAGCAGAGGTCAGGGGGTCAGGGGTCAGCAACATTTACTATCAAAAGAGCCATCAGCCAACAAAGATAATAACAAATTAAAAACACAAAACATATTTGAGCCTTATGACAACACTGCGTATTTAGTCTAAATTAGCCTATCAGCATTAAAAATATGTTTTACCACAAGATGACTCCTCTGCGATGGGCTGTTTATGATTATTTGATACTTTAACGTCGCAGCGCTGGCGGTGAAAGCAAACTAATCTGGCAATCTACTATTAAATTCTGTATTTTCCTCTGAGACTTTAACTTAAATGGATTTGGAAGCTAATGCTAGCCCAGCTAGGGAGACTCAAGACTACCACCGCTGTTGAGGATTAGCAAAAGATGCCAGGTCGTAGAGGTATGACGCACATTTTAACTGATGAAATGTTAATTACTTTTTTTAATTCAGTGCACAGGCTACAAATTTCACCCTTGGAGAATATGATATATCTTACTGTATAATGACGAAAACTCTGTGTATGTGTGTGTCTGTTTTTCTCCTCACTGACTTGGTCAATCCATGTGAAATTTGGCACAGTGGTAGAGGGTCATGGGAGGATGCCAATGAAGCAATATTACATCAATTGGCCAAAGGGGGGCGCTATAGCAACCGATTGAAATAACAAACTTTGAATGGGCATATCTCATGCACCGTATGTCGTAGAGACATGAAACTTTGCACAGAGATGCCTCTCCTCATGAGGAACACATTTGCCTCAAGAACCCATAACTTCCGATTATATAGATTTTCCGCCATTTTGAATTTTTTGAAAAACACTTCAAATAAATCTCTTCCTAGGAAGTTTGAGCGATCTGCATGAAACTGGGTGAACATAATCTAGGGACCAATATCTAAAGTTCCCTCTTGGCAAAAGTTGGAAAACTTACTAAAACTGAGCTTCTATAAGGCAATGAATATTGCGGAGGGCGTGGCTCATCACATAAAGGTGTATAACATCTCAAGGGTTTCACCCATCACCACGCAACTTTGTAGGCATATGACCACACATAATCTGAGGGGACCCCTCCATTATTGACCCCATCAAACAAAATGGGGGCGCTAGAGAGCTCATTTCTTATCTAGGCCTAACTGTCATATGGATTTTTACTAAACTTGGTAGATATGTAGAACAGGACGCCTCAAGGTGACTGGAGAAATTTAACTCTAATTGGCAACTGGGTGGAGCTATAACAACAGAAAAATGGCTAAAATGCGACAAATTCACAAAAAGTCTATCTGAATACATTGCTCTTCTTAATGGGTTCAGTTGAGTATTTAATATGCAATTTCCTATGACCTGTATCCCAAACACACACTATTTGAAACTGTACGTGGGCAACTGTGCACTCAATGGGTATGGACTAGTTTATTTATTTCTTTTTTTTTTTTGTCAAAGCCACCGAGAGCCACAAGAGAGGGCCTAAAGAGCAGCATATGGCTCCATAGCCGCAGGTTGTCTACCCCAGGCCTTAGCTTATTGCACTTACTCTTTCTGCATGAATAGTTTTGTAATATTCTCTTAATAGTACAAAACCTAATACCTAAAATATCTAATCTATGAAGTGTTTTACACATTTTTATTTCCTTTTCAAACTGTTCCACAGATTAACTCCTTGGACGTTGTCTTTGTTTTGCATTTGTTTTAATCTTAGTTTTTGTGAACATAAAAGTTCCTCTTATTTCGTACTGTCACAACCTCTGGACTCTGGACTGGAAGCATCTTATGAGTCATCTTATGAGTCATTTGTTGGTTGGTTCACGATAATCAACTGTGTTTATGATTCTCATGGTTCTCTGCTGTAGTTTAAAAGTTTGATTTTATTGTTCTGTATTTCCCCAAATCTCCACACTGTAGATAATAATGGAGCGATAAAAGTATGACACAATATATGTAATGAATCTGGATTGCTTTTTGTGAAAGTTGTGGAAACTGACAGTGACACAACTGAAAAAATGAGGAAACCTTTTGATTTAAATGGACAAAAACAAAGGATAACTTACAACTTGAACAGAACACACACTCAGGAGCTGATGATGCAGATGTCTCTATTTCCAAAGTCCAAGATTTCCAGGACAGCCGTCTTGATTCATCCCCAGCAGTCTGGTTCCTGGTTCAGTGGAGACCTCAAACAGAGAGATGCTTCCCTGCTTATCGTAGCTCAGGTGAGATTCCACATCACAGGTTTCAAAACTATTAAGGAATATATAGATGATGTCCCGCTGAACGCAGCATAGTCTGAGGTCAAGGGGCAGGTTTTATTTCACATTTCTGTCAGAATATGTAAAAACGCTGAGGTCACTGACCCGACGAGGCTCCGGCAGTTATGTCAGCCATGTTAATGTGTAATGTGTAACGTACAGCTCTCACAGAACCCCGTGACATCACACAGAGGTCTTAGCTATAGAGTCAGTTTGATGAATCTGATGTATGCAGCTACGTGAAACAAAGTCATCATTTTGCAAGTCCCAAGTCAAGTCTCAAGTCCTAAACTTAAAGTTTCAAATCCTGAACAAGTCATATTGCACACTTCACCAAATACGATGCCATTTTAACAAAAGAGTAATAATATACTGAATCTACAAAAATCATGAATGCTTTTTAAAATCTGTATTTATTTGTTAAACAAGTTTTATGGAAAGTTACTCAGCAGTTAATTTACATTCTTGTCCCAAGTCGTCACATGTCACCGCTTTGTCAGTGGACTTTCACGTCTACATATAACATGCTAGGTGTCCTCCTGTGTCAGCTGTTGATGTTCCAGGACGCCACAACCAACATCAGGAAGTCAACAAAAACCTGTGCTTAGGTTTAGAAAAAAACCCCATCGTGATTTGTCTCCACATTCATACAGGAAGTGAACACAGGGCTCCCAGCTCTTTATATTATGTCGTTACCTGCAGCGTTTCATCCGACGCCAGCTGTTCTTGTATCACACAGATGCCGTCCGGCTGTGTTATGAACTGACACCACCTGTCAACGTACCATTCTGCCACGACAGGTGTCGTCCACCCAACCAGCAGCGTATCATAACAACACGAAAGGTTCTCAACTCAGATTTATTTATAAAGCACATTCAACAGCAGCTCACGTTGAGCAAAGTACTGTACAAAAGGAATAAGCTGCATTACAAACTGGTGTCACAGCCGCGTAAGGTGGCTTTTGGCGCTGGTGTCTGACGCCGAAATCGCTGACGAAGCGACAGAATTTGACGACTTTATGCAACTTCAAACGTCGACAAAGTTGGAAGTTGTTGCGTCTCCATCTGTAATTTTTGACCCACATGTTGTGAATACTGATTTTAATTTAGTTCACTTTTTATACGCTAATGAAATTGTCTTTGGTATCATGTTTACCAACTGGCACTCAGTAGCATCATGGTTCTCTCATGCAACTTGACTACATGCTGTTGGATCAGCTCAGACAAAGATAGATATTGATTTAAGTACAATTTCTCTTAGAGTGAGAAGAGAAGATCACCAGGAGTCTCATGCCTGTGTGTTCAGTATGTGACTGGAGCAGGGAGACGTTTAGCTTAGCGAAGCATAAACAGTGGAAGCAGTGTGACACAGCAAGCCTGGCTTTGTCCAAAGTTCAAAACTCTGTCTACTACTAAAAGCTCTTTAATTCACACACTGTATAATCTGCACTCAGTCAGTAAGGCAAAGAGTTACACCATGTAGATAACAGTGTGTTTAGCTGTGAGCTTTAGAGTTGCCGGCAGGACCTTGTTTGAACGTTGCTGTTTGAACCTGCCTCCAGAGTTTATGCTAAGCTAAGCTAAGCTAAGCTAATCATCTCCTGACTCCAGCTCTGTATGTAGCACACAGACACAAGAGCGGTATCTCCTTAGTTTTCTCTCAAAAAATAAGCATTGAATTATTCCTTCAAGATGGACTGGGTGTTTCATTAATTTCTGTTTTGTGATATTCTTTGAGTTCAAGGTTTTGGCAGCATCACACAGTTGCTTTTAAGGCCCAAAAGTCAACAAAGACAAGTTGAGAGACACTTTTGTAAGATGAATACTGCAGAGGGTAATTCACATGCTTTGCAGATTCAGTGAGAAGACGTTCCCACGCTTTGTTGTGCCACTTTAGTTTCCTTTGTGGCTTTATAGGTCAGGGTATGACATGCCATCGGTTCTGGGAAATAAAAATGCAATGAAGAATTGAGCACCAAATACGTCTCTACCTATGATGGTACAACAGGAAACATATTTGGATTGCACAGTAAAGAGCGACTGGTAGATGGTTACATGGCAAATCATTTGACTTAAAAGATCCCATTCTTTTGAATTGGTCCTATACTTAAGTTCTAATTTTTCTCGGCCAGTAAGAACATACTGAGCTGAGATCTCATGCATGTGATTAGTATGTTTGTTATTTTTCCACCACAGCAGCTTCTTTATTAGAGTAGATTATTTTTGTTCCAAGCTGAGATATGTTTCTTTTGTTTGCATTCAACATGCTCTCCAAAATACCTGCAGTCAGAAGGATTCAATTCGGTCTACCAGCACATCTAAAGCTCTTTACTTCACACACTGTATAATCTGCACTCAGTCAGTAATGCAAAGAGTTACAGCATGTAGAATACAGTGTGTTTAGCTGTGAGCTTTAGAGTTGCCGGCAGGACCTTGTTTGAACGTTGCTGTTTGAGCCTGCCTCCAGAGTTTATGCTAAGCTAAGCTAATCATCTCCTGACTCCAGGGTCATATTCACAAAGCTCCCTCATACTAGGAGTTGCTCCTAGTGACGAAATTCTTGTGACGTTTCCTTCTAAGTTCCCCTTAAAGTTTAGACTAGGTCCTTGTAAAGATAAGTGCCTTAGACCTTAAGAGAACTTCTAAAGTGAAAAACTGTTAGGAGTAGGGAGAAGGACTTTTAAGAACAAAGAGGTTGGAGAGATATTCTCCAAACACTGGATGACAGTGAGTAAATAGGTCATGCAGGTGTAATATTTGTGGTCAGTCTCATTAGGGATACGCACACATTTCACACCTAACGCTATAACGCCAGAAACAAAATGATCACAACACTGAGATATTTGGAAAACTGGGAAAATGCAGCAGTGATGACTTGTGTCTGTCTCAATCTTCCATCAGCAGAGTGATCACAGTCAGCAGTTCATTTCATTTCCACTGGGTGTCCACACCTTACAGTAGTGTTGTGTCGTTTGCGAACGAATCGTTCAAAAGAACAAATCTGTTGAGTGAACGTACTGAACTGAATCACTTCCGGAACTTATTCGTTCATTTCTCAGTTCAGTTGAGCTCAGCAGTGAGCATGCAGGCGGGGAGTGGAACTGCCGATTCGGTCCATACGAACGATGAATCACGCCGGATTTCCACTGGATGCGTGTCCGTTGCGGAACGGCAGCGCTGGTTATCCGCTGCATGCTCCGCCGTCCGTCAATACCCACCGGCTGCGTTTGCTGTGCGGTGTGGTGCAGCTCCGCCGGAAGACATCTCGGTGCACTGCCATGATTAATATCTTCTCATCCATGGTGTTCACGGGGTGATATGACGTCTGAAAACCTCTGACCTGTTGACTTCAGGCCTGCCTCTGCCCATTATGTAGTTTTTAAGGTGTAGTGCAGGGAAATATGATCTGCCGTGAACACTGTGTATTTTATTTTGAAAATTAACCGGATGTTTTATTGTGTTTCTGTGCACGACTTCCTGCCCCGCATGATCTGCTCTGTGCTGAATTGCTGCGTTGTGCTCCGGCGTCTGGCAAAAATAGAAGTCCTGCGTATCTGTTGCGGAGGGCTCCGGAGTGCCGCAGCTGTGATGGAGCCGGAACGCAGCACAGCCGCAGCCGGTGGAAACACACATTGACTAGAACTGAATCCTATCGGCTCCGCTGCCATTCCAGAGCGGAGACGCAAGCAACACGCATCTGGTGGAAATTGGCCGTCACTCGCGAGACAGCCAGGGTGCAGGGAGGGACTGCCTACCGCATGATGAGTCACTTGGTGAACAACGTAACCCTGATCCCTGAGTTATTCAAATCATTTCTTCTCAGCGATACACTTTCATAGGGACCGTTTTCTACAAGCTAATGGCTAATGTAGCCAGGAGTCAAGCCACATGAACACAATCACACACCTCCCCATTGTTTTAACAGACTTAGTTTCCAGATAAACAAACTTAAAATGTTAGGCTGGCCAGTAATGAGACTCACCAGTGCAGGGCAGACGCGGCAGTAGCTCAGCCGTGTATCAGTTCAGTGAGTCAGACTACACAGTACACAGTCAGGGCTCCTCCCGCCAAGCACTGAACGATTCAGTGAACGAATCTTTTGAACGAATCTTTTTAATGAACTGATTCTAGTGATTCAGTAACATCTTAAGAACTGCTTTGCCCATTACTACAGGCTCACAAAGGGGTGTGTCTGTGACAACCAATCACATCTGTTAAAAGAAAGCATCAAACCTAGCAACAAAGTCACCCACACCTCCTCACTGAGGTAAAAGTTTCTGTCTCTTCCTTGCACAAAGTTGCTCTGAGAACTGTCCTAAGTCACTCCTAAGCTAGGACTCCTTACTAAAAATGTTTAGGCTAAGTTAGGAGCTCTCAGTGTTCTCAGAAAGTTTGTGAATACGGCCCCTGAAGTCTGCACACTTCTAACATCTATGCAGTGTTTCACTCAGTCTACTTGACCTTCATCAGAGCACACACTTTTGTAACATGAATACTGCAGAAGGTAATTAACATACTTTGCAGTTTCAGTGAGAAGACGTTACCACACTTTGTGGTGCCACTTTAGTTTCCTTTGTGGCTTTTTAGGTCAGGGTCTGACATGCCATCAGTGTGAGAAATTAAAATGCACAAAGAACTGAGCAACAAATAGTCTCAACCTATGATGGAACAACAGGAAACATATTTGGACTGCTGAAAAGAGGCAATTTACCGAACTACTGGTGGATGGTTAAATGGCAAATCATTTGACTTAAAAGATCCCATCCTTTTGAACGGGTCTTATACTTAAGCTCCAATTTTCCTCAACCAGTGAGATTATGGTGAGCTGAAGTTCACTCAATGAACCCATGAATCTTGTAACAGTATATGAGAGACTGCTCGCGTACTGGAGGCACAGAGGGCGGGCATAGGCCGAGAAATATGTAACCAAAATAACAGTGACATGACATCTTGTCACAAACCTGACTAAATCTAGTAACTAATAACTAACAGAATATAACATTGGCATTACTTGCAAAGAGCAGGCACAACCCTCAGTGCTAATTTACTACACTTTTAATTTCGAACAGCTTTCATCTGACTTTTACAGTATTTCTGCATTTTAAAGCCACTACAGTGTGTGCAGGATTTTGCTGTGATTTAGGATTATTATGTGCATTTTTTTATTATTCTGTTGATTCTGAGGTAATCCCAGTGAATGTTGGTGCAGCCGAGTTGCTTTTAGCCCAGTCATCTCGGTTTCTTAGGATCAGATCCCTTAGGTGCTAGCGTCTTTTCTGACATAACCACTGGGCTTTAAAGGGTGAGTTTGGATCTTTTCAAGTGGTGTTGTTTGGGGTACTTATCCATACACAGTGTATTACATACGGTAGATGTGTTTTAATCACCTAAAGAAGCCCCACCTAAAAAAATTAATGGCAGTTCAAGTGTGCGATATATTGAGAGTATTTTCACTGTTTTACTTTTCCATCAGACAGCCTGTTCTGATGGTAAAGCTGTTAACCACTTCAGTTCCCCATCTATGCTTTCGTCAAAGCCACCAGACTCCATGGACAAAAACATTTTGGCACGCTGAACTCTGGAACTGTTGGCGTACTGCTGCTTTGATCACTTAGTTAAAAGGATTAGTTTGGATTCCCCAAGTCATACAATAACACTTGAGGCCATGTTTACACAAAAAAACAATCCACTGAAAATGGAATTGTTTCTCATTTTTGTTTCGAAAAAAGTTCCGTGTTTGGACGACAACGATTTCATAACAATCACCGTGCACAAGGATCTGCAAAAATACTGTCGTATACATGCCAGGCCAGTAGTTGGTGGTGTGACTTTGTAATGAAACAATACACACCTGGTAAGTACAGTAAATCTACACTTTGCTGGAGAAATTCAACTGAGTGAGAAGCACAAACAGAACTCGAGAGTCCGCCATTGTTGTTGTGATGGTCGACTTTCTCGCACATGCCTCCGTTTTCAGAGGAACTGCATATTGCAAGTTTACATGACAACGGAGACGTTGCTGTTTCCAAAAAACTGCACTCTGGAACCTGTTTTCAACCTGTTGAAATCGTTGTCGTATAAACAGGACCTAAGTAAACGCCAAAGTTTAATTTGGGTTATTGCTTAGTTAGGATTTTTTCTTCAACTTTTCAGGGTTCCTAAGGTTATGGAAAACCTGGAAAAGTCACAGCATTAGAAGGGGCACAGGGAAAAATATTTGTAGCTTCGGGGAGTGTCTGAAAGAAAAAAAAACTAACAAAAAAAAAAGAGAAAATGAAAAATCCCTTTCCTCTGATAAGTAACGAACAGTCCCTAATGATGACTTAGTTCCAGCGATGACTGCAAGGCGAAGCTGCCAAATAATAATCTGACATCTGTGTGTGACAAGTCAGAGTCCCTGAAGTCTGTTCAACAGCTTTTCTTTTTCTCTCCCCTTTATCAACAGAACAATATGTACTGTATGTACAGCAAGCAAAAAGCATATCATATCGTCATAAAACAACATATCCCATGAGTCTTAGCTACTGACAAAGTCCCATGGGAGCTGTAGTTGCTGAATGACAACAAAACAATCCGTATTTTATTCGTCTATCTTTTTAAAGTTGTCCTGTTTTAATTTTTCTGACAACCTTGTTCTACAGAGCACCAGGAGCCACTGAGAGGTGTTCGAACATACGTCATGATACAGGAAGTAAACAAAGCAGACGGCGGTGACGCTCATGAGACCTCCCATCCCGTGCCATGACAGCTCGTCCAGGTGAAACATTTTTCTCTTTTATCTAAATAGGGATCGAAGGAAGTGTGTATCTACCACAGGACGCCACTTTGCATGTTGCACTGTGCCCGCAGCGTGTTGTGTGAAGTTGTAGCTAGCTGCGACACTTCGATCTCCGGGTGCTAGCCTTATGCTACAAGCCTCCATTCAAAAACTTACTAATTTAAGAAAGATAGGCTTATTGGCAAAAACTGACCTCTCACAGGTCACTTTTGTAGACCTCAAATAAATAACTAGGATCTCCTCTGTAGTTCGGCGTTAATTTAGTACATCAAAACGAAATTTCTTGTGTAATATCTCGACTTGTAAGTTATGACCCCGCCTTTCATTTCGAGTCCACTACAAACGTTAATTAACCGTGGAGGGTGGAGACAGAGGAAGCATACAACAGATGTTATGTTGGAAAATATCGCTGCAGGTCGAATAACATGTATGCCGAATGCTCTCTTGTTGTGTGTAATGGAGTATATAAGCTTTTAAAAACATCTTCATCCGGCATTTATGCGCCATGCTCCAAATAAACAGTAAATTGTTAACTTTCTGAACGGGATTTGGTGTCGCGTTTTCGCACCAGAACAGATAGCGGTACAAATCAGGGCTAACGTTTGTTAGAGACATTATCTAGTTAGCGGAAGCTTGTTAGAAGTGATAAATACATGTAAACAAAATAATAGTGTGACTGAACATTTTCTGGATGACGTAAGGTAAACAGTCGTCACCGAGACATATGTTAGCAGCTAGCATAGAGTCGGCAGATGGTGTCCAGTTTAATTTGTTCTTCCTCATTAATGAGGTCAGTTACGGTAAAATTAAGCACCGTTTCATAACTCTATGTGTAATAAATCAGGTTTAAGTAGTTTATTAGCTTAGTTGATGGTGCATATTCCTAAGTACATCTGTAATAGATTACACTACACAGACACACTGCAAGCATGAGTACTGGTTGGTTTATGGGGTCTTAAAGCAGAATGCTGTGTAATTAAACTGATGTAGGTTGCTGTCTGCACTGTCCTCAATGGGTGATTGCACTCACCGGCCACTTTATTAGGTACACCTTGCTAGTACCAGGTTGGACCCCCTTCTTAATTCTTGGTGTCATAGATTCAACAAGGTGCTGCAAACACTCCTCAGAGACTTTGGTCCATATTGACATGATGACATCACACAGTTGCTGCAGATTTGTCGGCTGCACATCCATGATGAGAATCTCCCGTTCCAGCACATCCCAAAGGTGCTCTATTGGACTGAGATCTGGTGACTGTGGAGGCCATTGGAGTACAGTGAACTCATTGTCATGTTCAAGAAACCACTTTGAGATGATGTGAGCTTTGTGACATGGTGCGTTATCCTGCTGGAAGTAGCCATCAGAAGATGGGTACACTGTGGTCATAAAGGGATGGACACAGAAATCCAGACTCATCAGACCAGGCAACGTTTTCTCAATCTTCTATTGTCCAGTTTTGGTGAGAAAACCCGTGTGAATTGTAGCCTCAGTTTCCTGTTGTTAGCTGACAGGAGTGGCACCTGGTGTGGTCTTCTGCTGCTGTAGCCCATCTGCTTCAAGGTTGGACAAGGTGTTGTTGCTTCAGAGATGGTCTTCTGCAGACCTTGGTTGGAACCGGTGGTTATTTGACTTCCTGTTGCCTTTCTGTCATCTTGAACCAGTCTGGCCATTCTCCTCTGACCTCTGGCATCAACAAGGCATTTTGGCTCACTGGATATTTTCTCTTTTTGGGACCATCCTCTGTAAACCCTAGAGATGGTTGTGCTGAAAATCCCAGTAAATACTCAGATCAGCCCGTCTGGCACCAACAACCATGCCACGTTCAAAGTCACTTTTCATCCCCATTCTGATGCTCAGTTTGAACTTCAGCAGGTCGTCTTCACCATGTCTACATGACTAAATGCATTGAGTTGCTGATTAGCTCTTTGTGTTAACAAACAGTTGAACAGATTTTGCCCCTGCCCCGTTGCAGATTAATCAGACCATACATTAATTCTCTTTACTTATAATATACTGACATCTATGCAGCTTCTCCACTTGTCTATGAGGTTTTACCTAATCTATACTCTCCGTTGGTTTTTGTCTTTCAAGGTGTGATGTTGCTCTGGCATGCATGACCTCCACATCTCATCCCGAGGGCGTCAAGCCAGACAGTAACCCCCCCAGTGCCATGGCTGAGGTGTTGGGACAAAGGAGCTTGTTAGGCTTTGGTGTGGTGTTGGCATGGCTGGTGCTGTTCCACCTGCTGGTCAACATCTGGCTGCTGTGTGTGTTCACCAGCCTGCTGGTGGTGCTTGGAGGCTGGCTGGGCTCGCAGGCCGTCCTGGAGTCCAACAGTGTGCTCCACCTGGAGAGGTTTATCACCATGGAGCAGGTAAGAGAACATTTAACAGTGGTAGTTTCTCTTTTCATTTGTAGATCATAAAAGTTTTATGTGGTTTACTGGGCTAAGATAATCTTATCCTTGCCCGGTGAACCCAATAAAAACTGTATCAAGTGCCAGTATACTTGCATTTTTTTTGTCCCTGAAAACTTTCAGGTTCCACCATCTGTGGAGGATGAGCATCACTTGGACATGGAGATCCACAACACTGTGCGGAAAATCATAAGGGACTTTGTCACCTCCTGGTACTCCACTGTGTCCTCTGAGAGTGCTTTTGAAACAGAGGTCCAGGAGGCCATGATCTCCATGGCCATGGAGCTGAAAATACGTGCAAGACAGCTCGACAGGAAGGTATTAAAGACGTCAGTGATTGTAGAGTGGTGCCGTGTGCCTGCCTGCACTTGTCTAGCTGGGTTATATGATTTCTTAAACGTCATGTAAATGAGAAGTGAAATCTCTAATGGTCTTTCATGGGACAACTTTCAATTCACTGCAGGAGCTGACCCAGAGGATCCTGGATCTGTTCGGCTGCCACCTGCAGGACTACATCAGAGCCAAGGAGCTGGTGACCGAGCAGAAAATGTCTCTGACGGACAAGTGGAGCAATGAAAGCGAGCAGCTGTGGAAAGCGTATTCCAGCGTTACCACGCCTCATCTTGCCATGACCAGTGACGCAGAGGAAGTCAACTACACCAGAGCAGTTGTAGATTTATTGCTGCATGTTTTGGTGCCATCGCCTCACTTAGAGACCCGCACTGGACGCTTTGTTGTCGGAGAGCTCATCACCTGCAATGTTCTGCTCCCTCTTATCGCGAAACTGTCTGACCCCGATTGGCTGAACATTCTCGTGATCGAAATATTCAACAAATCCAGCCAGCCAAAGGAGCCAGTTGCAACAGAGCCACTGGCTTCATCGCCACCGCTACCGCCACCACCTGCTGAATCTGAGCCAGCTCCACTACAAGAGACAACACATGTACCTCAAAAGAATAATGAAGTTCCCCCACTAAGAGCGGCGACCGAAGTGGTCAGTGACACAGAAGTGGCCACGCCTGAGCTTGCCGCCTATGATGTGATTGACTCAGAGGAGGTGGACTGTTCACACAACAACACTGAAGAAGAAGACCCTACTCTACCCTTTTTAAGACATTACATGAGAGGAAGCAAGTCAAACCCATTTTACCAGGAGAATGACTCTGACCTGGATTCTCCTCTGGCTGACTTCAAACGAAGCTCCATTGACTCCCTGGTGATGATCGACCAAGACGAGGGTCTGTATGACAGGCAGAAAGAATGTGCCACATCTGTTGACAACATTGGTGTGGACCTGGAGGATGTTTGCCCCAGTCCGATGGACGGCTCCTGTCCTAAGGTCCTGGTGAGTTCAGAACCAGTAAGCCATCCTAATGGCTGTGACCCCTCATCAGCTCAGACAGCAGAGGGGACTCCTGGTAACAGCAGCCTCCAGGACCTGGAGAGGGAAGGTAGTTCTCCTTCAGTAAACCCAGCCCGAGAGCTCCTTCTGGGAGTAGAGCAGACTGGGCTGGGGAACACCAACGAGCTGACTGTAGTCAGTCCGCTGCAGGGCTCTTCCCCGATACCGTCGTTCAGTTTCGAGCCCCTCAGCAGCCCTGATGGACCAGTCATCATCCAGAACCTCCGCATCACTGGCACCATCACAGCTAAGGAGCACCGCGGCACTGGCTCACACCCCTACACTCTCTACACCATCAAAGTAAGTAGATGACATCATCTGTATCTGCTTCTCTTTCCTCTGTGCGGTATTCATGTTTTCCAGGTGCAACATGTCGCCATTTTTATCCTTATAATCCAGTTTTCCCACACATTCATGTTTTTGCGGTGGGCGGCTACGATTAAATCATCTACGGTCACGTTTAGATTTTCTAATTTTGGAGCTGGACCGTTCCTGAGGTTGAAATATATATACTGTTCGGTTATCATCTGCTGCACAGACAGAGGGCACAGTGAAAATGACACTTTACCTCAAGTGTGCTTGGTCTAAAGTTTGCTTTCACTCACAAACAGCTGCTGCTCTTGCCCATCAACTTGAGATCACATCGACTGATCAGTTATCCACCCCAACTCAAAACTCCACAAACTAGGATTGGGCATGATCCTAAAATATCCGATACTATCAATACTACGTTTTCATTTTGAAGATCGATTCTAGCATCAATAGGATCGATACCAAAAAAGGGAACAGTTTCTCTCTTCTGCGTCGTATCTTTTTTTATTTTAAGAGTAGTCCTAGTTTTTAATGCAGAGTTTGGGTCTCCCAAATATCAACATCAGACCTCAGGGCATTTTACAAATGTCACAAAACATATGATACACACAATATATGACAAACCCTCTTCTTCATTGTGTTTGTTTTCAGTATGAGACAGCGATGGGCTGTGAGAACCCAGGAGGCATCCAGCCAGGCTTTGAGGATACTGACGTTTTGCCGTCAGGTTGTGAGAATCCGTCACCCATTCAGCCAGTAGCCTATCACATGGTCAACAGACGATACAGCGAGTTCCTCAACCTGCAGACACGGCTGGAAGAAAAATCAGAGCTACGGAAACTCATCAAAGGTAGGAAGGATGGACGCTGGATCATGTTACTGAACATTTTGTGTATTTTAGATTTATATTTAAAACCCTGTGTTGCTGTTTGGAGTAAGCTCTAGTCTGGCTTGGAGGAATCTTTGCATGGCCTACGAACAGACCTGGATTTGCCGTTCAGGTCTTGGCCATTGCTTAAAACAGAGGTGTCAAACTCATTTGAGTTCATGGGCCACATACAGCCCTCTTTGATCTCAAGTCGGCCAGACCAGTAAAACCATTACATAATAACCTACAAATAACAACACCTTCAAATTTTTCCCTTTTTTAGAGTAAAGATTCTGAAAACATCCATTGAATCACAAAACAAATGACGAACAGCCTGAAATACCTGAAGAAAATTATGTGCAAATTGTCTCAGTTTTTACACATTCAGTCAGTCCACTGTCCTTACATGTAACTTCTTTTTCATAACTTTCCACTGAAGTGGGAGCTGTTGAAGAAGCAGGTTGAGTCATCTCCTGCCTTGTAAACCATTTACAGTCTATAGATTTGTCAGTGTAATGTTGTGTATACACCTAAATTTGCATTATGACTCACACAAGTTTGAACACTAGACTGTTTTGTGTTGACTTGCTTCATGAGCACATGAAATCACTGAATCAATGTATGAACTTCTGCTTCCTCAGGGTCATGTGTCACCAAAGGATCTCAGTGTTGATTGGCTATTGCTGCACGATTCAGTCACTAAAGTTCAGATTCTTCATCTCCTGTGAATAAGCTTATGATGCGAAATCATGCTATTCGCTTCATTTGCATCACTTAATTTGCATATTTCGTGTCCATCGTGCTGACTGGTGGGAATTCACATCTTATCACATCTTTATATTGACTTTACATGTAATTCACTCGCATGAATTGTTTTATTTGCGCTCAGTGTGAACACAAAATGAGGCACTGTGCGGGGTTTCACCCCTATTGTTTTCTGATGGAAGTCTGATACAGATTATTTTGTACAGAATCTGCTGTTCAACAATATTTTGCACAGTTTTCAATCAGTTTAAATCTGACCACAGTAAGTATTCATTGTTATTTCAAAGAGCTGTATTCTGGTCGAGATGGAAAAGTCTCTGAGGCAGCAATTTACATCAAGTGTCCACTCGCTGTTTAAATTGCTCCTGAAACCTGTCACCTCTTAGCCTTCACAAGTGCACCAATATTAGGTGTGCAAAGTCATCTAGTGGGTCAGAACAGACCCTTTGGCGGGCCTGTTCTGACCCTGGGCTGTATGTTTGACACCTTTGGATTAAGGAGCCATCCATCCTTTTTCATCCACTTATCCGGGGCCAGGTCGTAAAGGGGAAGCAGACCCCAAGGTGTTCCCAGGACAGATGAGATATGTAATCCCTCCAGCGTGTTCTGGGTCTGCCCCGGGGCCTCCTACCAGTGGGACGTGCCCGAAAGACCTCCAGCGGGAGGCGCCAAGGAGGATCCTGATCAGATGCCCGAACCACCTCAACTGACCCCTTTCGACGCAAAGGAGCAGCAGCTCTACTCTGAGCTTCCTTCAGATGTCTGAGCTTCTCACCCTATCTCTAAGGCTGAGCCCAGACACCCTTCGGAGGAAACTCATTTCCACTGCTTGTATCCTGATCTCATTCTTTCAGTCACTACCCAGAGCTCATGACCATAGGTGAGGGTTGGGACGTAGATGGACCAGTAAAGCGAAAGCCTCGCCTACCAGCTCAGCTCCCTCTTCACCACGACGGAACGGCGCAGTGCCTGCATCACTGCAGAAGCCGCACCAAACCGCCAATCCAGGAAGGAAGGATCCAGTTTGACTGATGTTTGGTACTTGATCAAGCATCCAGGATTTTATTGTAATTTGACTGATCTGACTGTTTCAGGTGTGAAAGGTCCAAAGAAAATATTCCCAGACATGCCGTTTGGAAACATGGACAGTGACAAGATAGAGGCCCGGAAAGGACTTCTGGAGACCTTCCTGAAGGTTAGTAGAGTTTTACTGTATTACATTAATTTAGTATTTGTATCCCCAGTGGAACATTTATTATTGTTTTTGATCTGTAAAGTTGTCGACCAGCATTCTGTCCTCTTTTTCAGAACCTCTGTGCCATCTCTGAAATAGCCAACAGTGAAGAGATGCAGGAGTTCCTGGCTCTCAATACAGACGCCAGGATTGCCTTTGTCAAGAAACCTTTCATCGTGTCACGCATAGACAAGGTTTGATTTCATTATAGCACGACCAATACTTGACTTTATGACAAGGACATTTTATATGCAGGATAATTACTATAATCAGACTGTGATGCAAGGTCATAAACACATAAAAAATGACATGTTAAAAACATTTATTGATGGTTGTAGAGTTCTGTTTATCTTCAGGATAAGTATAAGCCTCTATTGGGTTTATGGTGAGGTTGTAAGTCCATGGGTCATGTGTGTGTTTCCGTGTTTAGATTGTAGTGAATGCCATTGTGGACACCCTGAAGACGGCGTTTCCTCGTTCAGAACCTCAGAGCCCAACAGAGGATAATGAGACAGAGATGGATGCAGCGAAAATAAGTTCTGACAAGAAGAGCAAGTATGACTCCAGAAATCCAGACCAACTTTTATCTACATATATACCAGAAACACAAACCTATACAGAGAATCAACAGACACTTTCGGTAGGGGGTGGGAGGTGTGACTCATGTGGGGGTGCAAAGGAGGTGTGCAAACTGGAGGCTGCAAAGAAAAGGTTTATTTCTCTTTTTAAGGCAAAGTTTAGATCCATAAGATCTTCAGATCCTCCATCCTGAGGAAGGTCTTGTAGATCAGAGATAGATTGATCGATTGAAAGACTGATAGATGTCATTATTGTCATTGCACAAGTACAAAGAAATTAAATTTGCGACTCCTTCACATGATGAAGAAAAATGGCAGTCGGACATTAGATGAGTAAAAGTAGACGGCATCAGTAGAGCTGCAGAGCTGCTACGTTTGGACATCTACTGTCTATGGATAAGCATACAACCCCACTTCAACAGATCCGAACTATCCCTTTAATTATTGCACAATGATGAATGATATAGTTGATTTTATGTGTGTTTGTGTGTGTATTAATTACGTTTCTATGATCCCAGGTCTCGTCTGAAGTTCTCCAGTAAAAACGTCCCCTTCATGAACGGCTCAGACATTAGACCGCCAGTTTTGTTCAGCTGGGAGAAAACTAGCGCCGTAAGTCACATTACTGCTCCTGTAATCAGTTGACTCTTTAGGGTTGAATCAAGTTTTACCTGGTGTTACTACTTCCTCTCTGCTCTGACAGGTGTTGAACGGGATGTCTTTGGAAGATTTGCAAGTCTTTGTCAGCGACCAAGAAAAACTGTCCATCAGAGCCGAGTCAGAGAAGGAGGACAGTCCAGTAATAAAACAATTCGGGGTCTATCTGGATGAGAGCTTTCGAGGAAAGCATGGTCAGGAAACTGGTAAGAACAGGGCGAGGGGATAAACTGTGAGATAAAGTATTCACTCTGCTTGATCCCAGGTTGTGTGCTTGGTACTTGTCTCTGAGCTGCTGCAGTTAAGTTTAAAGAGACCAGAGGACTGACCTCAAAGGACACAGATCAGCAGAGCTGAGGAGAGACTCCTGCGTGGACTGAACTCTCCCCTGCTGAACTGGGCCAGACTACTTCCTTACTTTGATGAGGGATGAGAGGGGAGAAGAGAGGTGAAACTAAAAGGAGAAAACTTACTTGACTTGAGTTGAGTTGGTATTTAACAGGCCAATCCCTTGTTGTTGGACATACTTGAGATAATGAGTGAAAGCGAGGGTTTCTGAGTGGGAGCCATGTTTGGGCAGTTAGTGGGGGTTGAAAGCTTCATTAGGGTTATCAGGTTGATACCCACATTCAGTGGTGGGCTGATCGGCAACATCTTGTATCCCCTCTGCTATTACTCCCTCTATCCCTGCTGTTGTTGGTGTCATTTCTGGGCCCAAGTGGTGTCTCTCATTCCCATTTTCTTAAGCAGCCTGCTAGTTTACTTGCCCTCAAGTTGCTCAATGTTTGCTGTCAGGTTGGCGTACTTAAGGCTCTTGCAATCGTATCCCTCCTCCAAAGCATCCTCCCAGGGCACAGTGAGCTCAGTGATGTCGACAAGGTGCAGTGAGGAGGACCGAAGCACAAGGTTCTGTTGTGGTTCCCGCACCTAAGGGCGCATTCACACCAGGAAAGTCTGGGGGACTCGGTTAGATTTGGCGGGGAATGCCGAAAAATTTCGCGCCTTCATTTGGTTCGATTCACTTTCATACTGCACTTTTTAAAGTGGACCAAACCGCCTGGACAACGTCACGCAGTTACAACAGCTGCTCGTTTGGGGGCGGTATTGCTCGAAATGACCACTGACGAGGAAGAAAAAAAGCACAAGGAAGAAGAAAACCCAGCTCATCGATTGGCCAGGACCGAAAACAGAAATCCATCCCCTCCAGCCGGCTTGGTCACCACACAAACAATGGAGCAACACCAAATTTATGCAGTCTTTGGTGTTTCTGTTTTTACTTTGGTGTTCAGACCTAATTGTTTTTTCACAAGAAGCTGCCCAGTATAAGCAGCTGGTGAAGCAACGAGCAGTTTGTGCAGTTGGCTTTGCTTTTTTTCTACCCAAAATGCACTTCACTCTGCGTCACTTCCTCTCTTTGGCTCACTTCCTCTCTTTGGTCCACTTGATAGTCCATTTGCATTTCCCACTGCAGCCCATCAGGGCTCACTTGCAAGTGAACCGAGACCCCCAGTTTTCAAGCGCACCAGGGTTTGCTCGTTTGCTCCGCACCAGAGTTCGATTGAGCGTTCACACCGCTCCAAACGAACAGAAGTATCCATGGAAGTGGACCAGGGTACGTTTAAAGCATACCAAATAGTGCCAGTGTGAATGCGTCCTAATTTTGAATCTTTGGGAGCTGGAACCAAACTGGAACCAAAACAGCAGGTTTTCCTTGATCTAAGGTGCGCACCGTGATGACATCAGTGGTCTTGTCATCTACAGGTTGTAAAGAGAGGATGGAGAAGGCAACAATAGAACGATAACCAAGAAATCATTATAAAAAACAGATAGTGCAGTGGTCTCATTTATACATGCTCCGCGCTTGTTTTTGCATAAAAACAAATATCTGCAGTCACAAGATAGGTAATCAATGCGATACGTCATTTTCCTGCTACTGTTTAATTTCGGTGTGCATTGTGCACCGCCCTCCGCTAATGACACATCCTTTATGACAATGTTTCCACTCGAAACTGACGGAAAAGCGGGCTGCTTTGCTAGATGGCACCAAGAATTATAGAGTACTGAAGGTAATCGGTTCAAGAACTGGAGCTAATTCATCTGTCACACCCACCTGCCAACACCGCATCACCTGCAGCAGAGTAACTGTTTGCAGTCTGCTGGACCCAGTGAATGAGGACCAGTTCTATATCTGTGAACTCTTGAAGGCTTCACAAGAATTTCATCTGATGGCTTCTGTCGAGACTACTCCCAGCTTCTCATCATTATCTCCGCAATCGTCACGTCTGCCTGTCTGACTCACCCTGGTTTGTCTGCTTTCGTTTTCCTTTGTGTCTGACCAACTCAGTGACTCACTGACTGTCGTTTCTCCGTGCTTTCCTGTGTGCCTAACTCCACCACTTTCCATTCAGTATCTCGCCACGATTACAGTGGGACTATCTGATGGAAACCAGCTTGTTCCATATTCCAGTCACTCATCGGATTCATCAGACTGGATTCATGTTTTGGCAACTGTTGACATGCTGCTGCAACAGATGTGACTTGGTGTGACAGTCCTTTTTTTTTCCTTTCCAAAAGCTTCCTGAAAGCTTCCATTTACACCCCAGTCACTGGCATGGGTTAATTTGTGTTGGTGGTAATGAGAACAGGTCAACGAGCAGCTGAAAGCAGCTCGGACAGTGCCTGGCTGGAGTGAACAGCTGTCTGTGACAGGGTTGGAAACTTAATTTAATGATGTTTATGCTGAAATGTTAGATAACTTGTCTCCTCTGAGAGACACAGACAGCGAGACCATATGAGAGAGTGGGCGAATGTGAGTAAGCAAAGACAGAATTGAAAGTGAAACAGACACAGCTTCAGTTGTAGACTTGAGTCAGAGTGCTGACCTCAAGATGTATCTGTGACAGTAGTCCTATATAAATAAGTCTAATAAGGATTAAATGTACTTTTAGCATATGAGCATTATATGCACGTCCCCTCTATGAAAGAAGAATTACACTCAGGAAACAGAAGACACAGAAACTCTGTTCAAAACAACCTTTGGTCTTTGATCCCACTGAACTTATGGTCTGTGGTTGTAGAGCGGACCACCGATCATTTTCTAATTCGTAATGAAAATAAATTCATTCACACTGGGAGATATTTTTATACTTCAAATATAATGAGTGCACGAAAAGCATTAAAATAGAGCTCATGTATTCAGGTAGGGCTGTTGCGAATACCAGTTTTGGGACATGGAAGCTTCAGTGAAACATTTCTGTGATAATGTTGGGTAATGAGATCCGAGAGTACATTTTTTGAAACATGAGCTAAAAAGAAAGAAAAATTGGCGAGACAGTTGACCTGTTACTTGCAGTGTAGATTTGTGATGTGCCAGTTTCCTTTGGCATATCTGGCACTCGACATTTTGGGGTCATCTTCACAGATTTTGGAACTATTCCAGTTGCTTTTTCGACATCTTGCTAGTGAATCTGTAAGCCTGTCACAGGTGGTGAAACTGTCCCAGGTTCTTTAGTACTGGACTGCTAGTGACTGATGTTAGATGAGGGTGAGTCCGAGTCACAAAACTAGTCCTATGACTAAGTTTAAATGTCCTTGTCTGAGAATAACTAATAATAATTATTGCTGATGCATAATAACTGGATTACTGTTTGTTACTTTATGGGCTATTCAGGATTTTTGGGATAATGGTGTAGAAAATCTGTGTATTCAGATACTGATTTGGACTTTGATTACCATGGCAATGATTCAAGCTTCAGAGCTTCGAAGCGTTCAGGTCAGCCCTAGTACCAGGGGAGGTCCAGGCTAAGCCCCAAATGTGCTCAAATCCTAAAACAACCCCTTCGTACACCTGACTTGTGCCGGGCTGCTGCAACTGGATTCGCCTTGTTTGTTCAATTTATCTGCTGAATATAATTAATGTTTGTTTATTCTGTGGCCCCTGGCCTCCTGTCACTTTGCAAAAGTGGCCCCCAGAGCAAAGCAAGTTGAGTATCCCTGGTGTTGCTCATGTCATGGCAGCAATTTAACGAGCGACCTGTAATGTCTTGCTGTTGCTGACCATGCAGACTTCAGTGTTTCATGCAGCTCGCCAGGTTGATGAGTTGGTGGGTATTCTGCGTCCAAGCATGCCCCAAAAGGAAGGCAAGTAGTTCTAGTGGGCGACCGTGTTTTCCAGGACATTCACACCACATCACCTGAATGTTCCTCAAACAATTCCTGCGTGATTCTTGCATACTAACGGAGCATTAAAAGGCTACTCTGCGTATTTTGCACTCCTATAACATTGTCGGACACCTAAAAAAGGATCAAAATGAGTGCACAGGAACCAGAGATATCATCTTTTTTATTCTTCACATTCTTCTTTGCCTGATGACCCATGCGTAATATTACCCATGACACCCATCTCAGACCCCTCGCCAGCCTCTGGGGGCACATGCCAATATTTTGGAGACTCAGGTATAGCCAGTGGATATCCGGATAATGCATGAATGATATTCAGGTCAAAACTTGCGTGCAGGTCATAGTTTATAGTCTAATCAGCAAGGGAAACCAGAATGCTTCCGCTACCAAAATAATGTCCGGTTACCTACAGATGTCACTCTAACCATTAACTGTGCGTAACTCTTATTTGGAACGTCTCTCGCCATCCACCGTGTTGCATCATTTATCATCACTGCTCCATCTTTCCCATCACAGGGAGTCACCTTCGGAAAAAGGGATGATATCATGAACATCATATGGAAACTATCTCTGCATTTGCTCGACACTAGAATGAGACATTCCCTGTTTAACTGAATCCAAATTGCATTTCTTCCTCGTTAGGCATCTGGTCATTGTCTCTGTGAAGGACAGTTTTTTTTCCAGACAGTCAGGGTGAATGAAAGTGACCAGTTCTGACCAGACCGTAATGTTACACTGTAAAACATACCAGACTGACAGTCCGCTGAGAACTAATGTGCTACTTTCACAGCTGAGATATAGATGTCTGAATACCTCAGTGTTTTAGTCAGTGCATTTACAGCACATTGAATCATTAGAAACCAATTCCTAATTTTGAAATTCACCCCGCACTAAATTATAAACACTGAATTTAAAGCATTTAAATATTTTTCTCTTAAAATCGTCTTGTATAATGTGATGTAGTTTGAATTTCATCTTTGTAGGGGGGGATTTCAAATCAAAACTTGAATGAGGCTATCACGGATAAGCAATCAAGAATGAGTCAGTCAGCACGAGTGTAATCAGTCATGTGATCCAAGAAAGAGAAGTACAGAAAAGTGGCTGGGAAACACCAGAAATCTTTGCATTTGTCAAAAAAAAAAAAAATCCCAAACAAAACAAAACCTGCTCTTGACATTGACATTTTCATTTAAAGAGGGGAATTCAAACCACATGAATCAAGATAGATGATTCCCACAAATGTTGTCTTTACATTTGAAATGTCACCTCCATCCGCCCTTGCAGTAATCCTGCACCGATGTACACATAGTGTCTACATTGTTAGGTACACCTGTTAAATCAAGTGCTTTCCAATGTAACAGCGCAGTCACAAACTTGACCTGTACAGAGATAATAAAGTTCAGTTTTGTTTGACACTGTCAGAAGTGTAATTTTTTGTCAATATAATGTTGTACAGTACAACACCACCACCAACTACGACCTTTATGGTTAACATATAGCTAAATTAACACCTCTTGGAATGTTCAAACTAAACCTTCCCTTTAAACATTTTTGTTACAGTAAAATATGTTGATCTTGTATAGATGTGCCTAATATAGTGGCCAGAAGGTTTATATTGCGTGGAGCCAAAATGTACTAAGTGGACATTTTTCCACCCAAAGCTGCACTTGGTGTGTTTTTCTTGAGCTCTTGCTGACGAGCTTGCTCAGTCCACCCGACATCGAACCAATGAGGGCAGTGCATAGCAGATTAAAAGAAAACTTCACCTGCAAAATGACCATTTGTATATTAAGTAACTGCATGTTGATTTGAATTCAAAAAGAAAGTTTAGTATTTCTTGTATCCCTCCATGGGTGAACAGACAATCCAAAAAAGGTGAACATTCTTCATTAATTGTAAAATTATATAAAGGGTGTAGGTTTGAATTCGGCCTTTCTGTGTGGAGTTTGCATGTTCTCCCAGTGTCAGCGTGGGTTTTCTCCAGGTACTCCAGCTTTCTCCCACAGTCCAAAGACATGCAGGTTAATTGGTGACTCTAAATTGTCCATAGGTGTGAATGTGAGTGTGAATGGTTGTCTGTCTCTATGTGTCAGCCCTGTGATAGTCTGGTGACCTGTCCAGGGTGAACCCTGCCTCTCACCCAGTGTCAGCTGGGATAGGCTCCAGCACCCCTGCGACCCCCAGTTGGATAAGCAGTTACAGATAATGAATGAAAACTATATCAAAACATCCATTTATAAAGAGCTCCTGCAGTATAATCCAAGTCTCATGTATCCTGTCATAGGCTCAGTACTTCCCCAAAACATGCCTTTTTTATTTAAAGCATGTCAGTACAAACAGTCTCATGCACGGCTCATAGGCGTGTGCATGCTCAGACTGACTCAGGGTGGGATACCCGTATGTGGAAGTGTTTATTATTGCAACATCTGTGACTAATGTAAACTCACTGTTACACGTAATGGTATTTTATTTATTTTCCTGTTTCCTACGATCCAGTTCTCCAAATACATAAGTTCTCTCTCTCTGCAGACCAAGTTTCGCTTAAACCCTTTCACTGGGTAAGGTGTAGCTTGTGTGCATGATATTTTAAACAGAGTACTTAGTGTATGTGTATCCATACACATCTACCTCATGCTCTTTAAAGTGGTTCTTCTGAATCATGTCAGTAATCATTCACCCTGTGTGGACTGTAGAGGTGGCAGTTAAAAATTCTGTGTAGTTTTGTAAGTCATGGTGCCGCTATGGTCATCAGGCTCAGGCGGTGTCTAATTTTTTTATACCTTCCTAGTTCCCACCTTCCTGAAATTTCACCGGGGTACACAGTATATTTATACTGTTTTTCCACCATTCTCTCCGATGTTGCTTGCCGCCTGTTCACAGTCCTCCATCACTTGGAGTCGCTATATCTGTCCGCTCAGCTGCTTGTTCCATCAGCAGAGAGCAGAGACTGACCTCTGATGGTGCGTGCTGTGCAATAAATACAACGAGTTCAAAAGAAAGAAGAGCAGCTGTATTTATGACGTTACTGAAAATCTTACCGGAGGGGATTTCTAAATACCCTTGTATACTGTAAAACTGTGATACCGCCCAAGGCTAGTAGTCATTTTGAATTCATGTCTGTTTTTATAGATTCCAGTTGCGGTTTTCACTGTGGAAAAAAGAATCAAATGTGTGTAGAGGATAAAACCTTTGACAGACACTGATCGGGGCTACGGAGAGGTGTGTGATGCCATCAAGGTGTTTTCTGATTTGGCTTTTCAGATTTAATACACACAAACTAAAATATATCCTGCAGATAGCATCGAAAGTAAAACCAAAAGACAACTTGACTTAATAGCAGAACATGGTTGATTAGAGGGTGCTAGAATAAAAATCACATTCAGCAGAAGCCGCAGTACATCAGTCTAACCACATGAGGGCAGTGTTACAAAATATATGAAGTGGGGTGCTGATGGGATTACTGGACCTGAAGTGTCTTTCTCTAAAACAGATGTTTGGTTTCAGATATACATTAATGTCTCTCTACAGATGCATCTGTCTGTCAGCTGCTACTTTTGCATGCTAAACCAACATGTAGTGCAGTATATGTTGAATATTGTGTCTGATCTTTGCCTGTGACATAGTGATTATCTCGCGGTATGCCGTCCTGAGTTGTGTTTTTATTTATTTTATGTCTGTCTTGCATGCTGTGGGCGCAGCCTCTGAGACGGCGCTGGCTGAGGTGGCTCTGAACATCCTGTGTCTGCTGATGAAGGAGCAGTGGAGCTGGCTGTGCACTGAAAACATCCAGAAGACCATCAGGCTGCTGTTTGGGACCCTTATTAACAGGTGACATGCTGCATTCATTAACAGTCATGGGATGCCAAAGAGTACTTTCAGGAAAATGTGATTTCAGTAACACATGTCTTACAGCAGACTTTACAAAGTTTTTTTCCCCCGCGACTTGGCACTGCAGCCAAAAAATCCTCAAAATAAAACGGATTAAATGGAAAGATGGAAAAAAAACAAGTTGGCAAAATTAAGTTAATAGACAGTGAATCTGCAAGTAAGTCTAGAGGTTTAGCCATCCCGTAATGATGGAAACACAACACCTAGCTGAACGTGCTAGTTTTAGCCTCGTTACCTGTGAGATGGAATGAGAGGACACAATAAAATACCGTCCATCTCCGCCCAAGAAAAGTTCAAACATTGATCCAAACAAGTCTGCACCGAGTTTAAAAGAAAGACTGAATAAGTAATTATGAAAATGCAGTAAACTCACTGTAGTCATGTCCCTAATAATGCTACACTGTGAGCGATGAATCTGTGTTGAAAGAAGAGCTCGTTAACGTTTGCACACAACTAACAGAGGTTGCATTGAGTTACATTATGATGTGTTCAAGCTCTATACAGCAATGTGTTATAGATGGATTGTTAACCCCTGATCACTATACATATCAGTTGGCTAAGTTTCCTTTGGCGTAAAGTGATACTGTTCCCACAACTCAGCAAGGTATGTCTAGTAAGTGGTTGGTTGGTGGCAAACACATGGTATGTAAACTGTAAGAAGACTGTGAAGGAGAGGTTAGGTGTTTTTGGTGGCCTGGCAGCTTTTAAACAAGGTACACAAGATCATGGAAAACCTGGAGAAGTCATGGAATTTTGTCATTTTGACATTTATCAGGCCTGGAAAGGTCATGGCAATAGTAAAAAGTCATTAAAAGTCTTGGAAAAGTCATGGAATTTTGTTTCATGTAATGAAATTTATACAGTTGTCTTCCGTGGATAACATTCCTCAAAATATAATATAAGGTCAAATTTATTTTGTGAAGCTGTCAATGTAAAGTAGCTCCAATTTGCGTCGGTGTGTGACGTTTGTTTTCCATCATGTACGCCTCTTCATTTTTTTGCTGCGTTTGATCTCACCTTTAAGGAGCTATATGTAAGAAATCTAAAGCAAATAGTCGTAAAATCATCCGAATATGTCACAGAGACGAAGGAATAATGTTAATATAAAATACTGATCTCACCGACAACAATAGTACAGCCAGAATATTCGCATTTAAAACATTTTTTTATGGTCTGCAAATCATGTTTATAGTTTACAGTTACGACTGAGCTACAATGGCTGACGGTGCGACTAAACCCAAACGACCTTGTTATGATTCCCAAAAACGCCAAGACAAAACTCGATGCAAAGGGAGGGTCTATAGGAGATGCTTTTGAATGGTGGAGATGGTTGAAAGCGGAGAAGAATTTGAAATCGGATGTCGAAGTGGCTACTCTTCTCCTCGACAGGTAAGCTGTAGCCAAAGTTGGCTAACTAGCATCATAGCTAGACGGGGATGGACATTTCGAATACTTTCAACTGTTATTCATTTTCGATCATACATTGTAGCCCATGTGCAGGTGGGTCATCGTGTCCCGGTACATAGCATTAGCAGCCGGCTCCTCCTCCGCTGTATCCCAGCAGCAGCATTAGCAGCAGAGAAGCCGGACTTGCTCGAACAGTCCGCTGGAAAACCGAAGATCAAGGACGCAGCGCCGCGACCCTGCCACGGTAGCCGCCCGTGGGCAAACAAATCAGTCTCCAGCATGCCGCTGTCCAGCAACCTCGAATCTGTAGGGGAGGGGGGGCGGACACGACTCGCGGCAGTATTTTGAATTTGAGTGTAACCATTTTGGCCACATTCTTACATACGGTGCCTTTAAGTGTATGCTAGATCGTGAAATTACAATTATGGGCAAGTAGTGTAAGGGCCCCATGGCGTCATCACGTTTGACGAGTGAGTAAAACCGGCTTCAAAGCCTGGTACTCTTCCTAGAGTCTTAAGGCAATCCACCATTTTCATTTGAATTTATTGCTATTCTTAATTCCAATCATGTTTTTCCATGTCATGTTCCAGAGACAAAACCTCACCTAGATACTGTAGATACTTTCCTTCATCCTAAGCGACTGGGTATAAGCAGATCCTGGTAACATTTTGAAGCAACCCAATGAAGATCTTTGTAGAGAAACCTTGCTGATACTGCCACGACAGTGCAAATTATTTTTCTCTCCTTGTAACAACAGTTGCCCCTGAATGACTCGATCTTCTTAAAGTGCTTTTACAAGCATTTCTACAGCAAAGAAATGATGGAAAGTTCTACATAGTAGGGGGCGGCTGAGTCTGTGGACTCCGCCAGTTCAGGACATGAGAACACATGGTTCCTGGTGGAGATTCCACAGAGAGGGCTGTTTATGAGCTGGAGAGGGGACTCTGGCGAATGTACAGTCGTTAGTCAAGAGGGTTGATATTTCAGACAAGAGTTGACTATGAGCCTCTGCAGCGATCTGTGATATAAAAAAATCAGGGGCATCACTTGCCATGCAGCATACCTATTAATCACTTTACAGAGGCTGTAAAGAAATGTGCTCATCAGAGACCTCCTCACTTTTGTTGTATAATAGAGTCTATAAGCACATATGCATATGCTCCTCTGTTCGGCCCTCAGTAGAATGCCTGACATCAACTCCCCAAACATTTGTCGCAGATAGGTATAGCTCCCGCTGCCAGTAAACTGAACATGCAGACAATGTTCTCAGGTTCTAGTGTTTGTGGTGTTCATGCTCTGACCTCACGTTCCCTGGGGTGTCAGTACGGGAATATCGTTTCTTCATATTGATACTGGGCCCTCTATTTTAAGAAGTTCCACCAGCCAAGTATGAAAGGCCTTGTGCTTTTGTTTGGCCTCGTCTATATCAGGCAGCAGTCTGTCAGCAGTGCAGTGACAGCTCTCAGCGTGGCGAGTATCTGCTCTCATCAACTGGTTTCTCTGATCAGAGGAGACAAGATGCTCTGAACCGCTGTTGACAGAAACACTACTGGTGAAACTGTGTTATTAAGATAGCTCTATTCATGTGAGTTAGAAACAAACGCAAAGTGGTACATGATAAGTAGAGAATAAAAATGAAAAGCAGAAGTAAAGCAAGTAAAGCTTACATAAAAATTTAAGTTATATAAAAGCCACTCTCCTAAAGGGAAAAACTGATGTGAATGACAGTTCAAATTGTTAGCGTATGTCAGGGTGTGTTAAAGTGTCTCGGCGCACAACTTTTGGTCTTTAGCCAGGATTTACTGATGGTTACCAGAACCACGCCTGAGTGTTACGGGATGCACTATATCTGATTAAGAGATAAAAGAGACAAAGAGGTGGCAGTTTTAGTGTCCATTCCTAGCCCAGCCTTAATGCTCTGCCAAAAAAATACTTCTAGCTTGGTTAGATGACTGATCCACCACTTTGATTCAGACTGAAATATTGATGGATAGCCATGGAAAACACTGGATGAATCCTAATGGCTTAGGGGATCCCCTGACTTTTCGTATAGTCTTATACTTACCATCCCCTGCACTAAAATGGCGAGCACATGCCACATTTCACTGCATGGTAAGGCTTGACTGCACTAGCTTGGATCTGTTCTTTTTTGGTTTTCCATTGGCAAAAGTTGTGGATAGTACCTTGAACTTTTTGGTGCCACCTTGGTCGAGGTTACAAGCAAGTTGAGCTGATAATTGGAGACCACTGATTGGTTGGAGAGGATCGTCAGCACAGTCGTCAGTCATTCTTACAGTAAATAGACAAGCTACCGTCAGTAGCCACCACAATGTTTTTATGACTCCACACTAGCAATAGCCATGGCCAGAGGCATTATGTGTTTTGCTTTGTCTGCTGTTCATCAGTCCGTCTCATTCTCGTAAACACGATATCTCAAGAGCATCTTGAGGGTGTTCTTGAGGTATCACAGTGAAAAACGAAATCAAGAAAAAAACCTGGTACCAAAAGATGGCTTCTCTTTGTTACAAAACTGTTTGCCTGATGAAGGTCTAGTCATAGAAACATTGCAGCATTATTAACCCAACCATGAGCAAACCTCAGCTGCCTCGTTTTTTCTTTTGGTAAGTGGCCATGCTTTAGGCTTGGTAAGACACTCCAAGATGTTTTATGCAGAACTCAGTGGGGGAAATGCATTTGCTTCCACTTTTGCCTCATTGTAATAAAGCAGGCATGTCCAATGTCTGGCCCGGGGGCCAATTGTGGTCTGCAGACCAATTTTAATCGGCCCTCGGCTTGACTTTCAAAATATACCATATGTGGCCCTTTACACAATAATGGTTAACAGAGCAAGATCACTTGGCATTTTTACCCCAGCCTCACAATGACTATCATACAGTTTGTAGACAGGCATCACATAGTAATAGTTCATTAAAAGATAAAAAAGTTGCATTTGTCTCACTTTTTTTTAAACCCATTTGATGCGAGAATCAGTTGGCCCCTAGGTATTTTCACGTTGTTTTATCTGGCCCCCATTCAAAAAAAGTTTGGACACCCCTGTAATAAAGGTTAATTCAGATGATTAATATCCTTCTGAAACCCGAACTTTTGTTTGGTATGCTTTTTTAAATTCTCCTAGCTATTAGGGATCAGTAGGACCTGATGAGTATTAAAAAAACAAACATTGTCAACTATAATTCCCAGTGTGCCGATAACAAAGTCCCAGTGTCCTCAAACAAGTACTTCCTAATCACCAGTGTCTTAGCTTGTTACTGTTGCTAAAATTGGTCAAATTTGTTGCCATATCAAACTACAAACATTATTAGTCATAAAGGTTTTGGACCTTGTCTACTTGTGCGTCGCAATCGGCTGCAGTCTGACTTGGCAGAGATGGCTGCCATCTTGTTTTTACATGGATTAGTGTATTGTGCTCTTACTACCACTAGATGGACTAGATGGGCTCGTTCGTGGCACTAATTGTCCAAGAACGAGGACAACAGGTCTAAATTAAGTAGAATGAAGTATAAGGCCAAGTA